CCAAATTGTTTTGTTCGAAGCCATTTGTATCAAACTTCATTATGTCTACTCAAAGCCCTTGGTATTCTTAAGTACCAAGGATATTGTGCTGGAAAGGCTGAACAAGCTAAGAAACAGCTGTTCATAATATTCTTCCAATTAATTCTTCATGTCGAGATTGTAGATCATTAAATATTCAACTTGTCACCTCTAATGGTGTCAACTTGACTGTTCTGAAGCCTCTGAGATCATTGCAGTCATCCAGTCTTCCTTCAAACAATCTTTGTTTTGCCCTTTGTAATGCTCATTTCATCGGGAACAAAGTTGAAACAGTCATTGACCATGCCATTGGCAATGACATCGGTCTCTGTATTTTTACAGAAACTTGGTTAAAGGATCTAGATTCTGTCTGCATTGCTGATCTTTCTTGTCATGGCTATTTCTTCAAGAGTTTCCCATGGCAAAAATCGATCTGGTGGTGGTGCAGGCATTTTATTCCACAACTCTTTTGATGCTTCACTTATGGATGGGAAAGAACATGATTCTTTTGAATTTTCGGATTGGATTCTGAAGACTACATCCACATTGTTGCTGTTTACTGCCCTCCCAGCTCCTCCATATCTGTATTTTTTGATGAGTTTTTGTCGTATCTCTTGTTATTGCTAGGGATTTTAACTTTCACATGGATTTGGTGCATAGCAATGATGCTATAAGATTCAACGAGTTGTTGGAAACAACATGTAACAGTGTCCACACATATCTTTGGGCATATTTTGGATCTCATCATCACTCGATCTACCAGTGACTTAATTTTGGGTCCCATTAACTCCCCTCTCGGACCATTTCTTTGTTGAGTGCTTTACCCACTTCCCAAGTCCATCAATCTCCATCAAGTCTGTGTCGTATCACAAGTTTAAGAGTATTGACATTGATGCATTTAAATCGGACATCACTATGTCTGTACTTTGCAGTGACACACTGGAGTGACCTTGGCAATTTACCCAAGCAGTACTTCTCCATCAGAAATCCTTGATAGGCATCCTCCTATTAAGACAAAAACTCTTGCTACTTGTGTAAGGATCCCTTGGTTTAATGCTGATGTTCAACAGTTAAACTGTATTCATTGCAAGGCTGAGCGAAACCCTCTAAAAGAGGTCTTTCCTCAGATTGGCTTGCATATCAGAAAGTCTGTAATAAATATTCTGCTCTTCTCAAGACTACTAGAACTTCTTATCACTCAAATTTAATTGGTCAGTGTGCTTGTGACTCCAGGAAGTTACCTAAACTGGTTACATTCCTTTGTAAGGATCCTAGCGACGGTGATCTACTGCCTCACAATGATCCAGTTCCAGTTACAAATAAATTTGGGGAACTCCCTGTTGAAAAAGTTGAACTTGTCAAGGACTCCATCAATAATATCCAAGTTAATCCTCCTTGTTCTGACACTGCTGCTCCAGCTGTAAAACTTGACAGTTTTTCACCTCTATCAGTTGAAGATGTTAGTAATATAAACAGTACATCATATAATGCCTCATGCAGCCTGGTTCTGATCCCTAAATGGCTTGTGAAATCTTGCCTTGACATCCTTGCACCCTCTATTGCTCAGAAGGTCAAGTTGCCTACTTGCCACGCCTACATTCCCAATGATTGGAAAACTGCAATTGTGAAAGCTCTGCTAGAGAAAAATGGCCTTGAGTTAACCTATAAAAATTTTCATCCCTTTAAGTAATCTACCATTAATCTCCAAGATTGTCAAAAAAGCAGTTCTTTCTCAATTGTTTAAGCACTGTGAAGGCAATGGTCCTCTGCTGAATTTACAATCAGGGTTCTGAAGATTTCACTCCACTGAAACTGCCTTGCTTAAGGTTCAAAGTGATACTGTTATGTCAATAGACCATTTGGAAATTATGCTGCTTTTGATACAATCCATCATCAGATTTCCTTAATATGCTTGAAAATGATTTTAGAATTATTGGCTCTGCCCATAGATGGTTTGCATCTTACCTATCTGGCCAAAAACAACATGTTCTCATTAGTGATCACACATCTGGTGACTTCCACTTAAACTGCAGTGTCCCACAAGGCAGCTGTATGGGACCTATATTATTTATATTATACATATCTTGACTATGTCATGTGATAGCTAACCATCTTCCCTCTGCTCATGGATATGCCAATGATACACAACTTTACCTGTCATTTAGACCAAATGGCAGATCTTCAGAAGACCACGCCATAGCTCCTGTAGAGGCCTGCATCTCAGATATCCATGCATAGTTGATTTATAACCGCCTGTTAATCAACTATTCAAACACTGAGTTCTTAGCTGTTGGTTACCGCCATAAATTATCAAAAATCGCAATTGATTCTATCACCATTGGTGATTCTACCATCCAGCCTCTCGACAGTGTTCAAAACTTGGGTTCCTGGTTTGACTCCGATAAGTCTATGTCCATTCACATTGGTAAGATCTGCAGCAAGGCTTTTCATGGCTTGTACAATTTGTTAGTCCTGAGTCCACAAGGACTCTTGTTTGTGTATTTGTGACTTCACACTTGGACTACTGTAACTCTCTTCTCTTTGGCATCCCCAAGTATCAGACAGATTGTCTTCAGAAGGTGTTTAATGCCACTGCTCAATTAATCTTTAGGATTCCAAAGTTTGATCACATTTCATCCACCTTATCTCATCTTCACTGCCTTCCTGTTACTTGTCACGTTTATTTTAAGTTATTACTCTTAGTTTATAAATCTCCTAGCAATTAAGGTCCACAATACATTCAAGAATATCTGCAGCCACACTCCATTTCTGGTTATCACCTACATTCCTGTGGCCAGGGCCTTCTTAAGATCCCAAGAACTAATTTTAAGACCTTTGGTGATCGTGCCTTTGCCTGTTCCAGGTCACTTCTGTGGAACAAACTGCTGCTTGAAATTCAAAACAGTTAGAGTGTATCCATTTCTAGGTCCAAGCTTAAGACACATCTGTTCAAGCTGGCTTACAATTTGTTTTAACATTTTTAATAGTTTTATCATTTTAATATTTTTCATATTTTTCATATTTTATTGTTTAATTGTTTTAATACTTTTATAGAATATCTTTTAAAGTGCTTGAGAATGTTTTTATAATTTTAGCACTATTATTATTGTATTACTTGTTTACAAACAAGCATCCATGCAGGCTGCATAATGCTTAAATTGTTCCTCACATGAAGTAAACTCCACAATGGTGCTCAATTGAACTGGCTTTGCATATGTGACCTCATACTCCAGCTTCTTGTTTCAATTTTTGTCATGCAAGAGTGACTTATGGCACAAGGTTCCAGGCAGTCTCAGCCTTACCTTCCTTGATGCAATAAAACTTCAAAACCAATTTAGATTAATACAAACAGAATAGAATGAAACTGCACGAGACATCATCATTACATAGATGTTACATCTAATAATTTCTGCTCAAGATTCATTTCTTGAGAAAACTTGCCTACAAAAGGAATGACTCATATTGGAGCAATTTTCAGCTAAGAAAACGCTCAGCAGTAAATGGTTTGAACCAGAGGGTAACATGACTGACACTTCAACACCCTGAACAGAAGTCATCGTCAGAGTTAGTGAATAGTTGTTGTCAGTCAAATGTTCTAAGACTGGTTCATATAAACTGATTGGTCAGTTTTTCTATGATGTTATTCACTGTAACATTCAAGTACTGCAAGTTGGTTGTGATTGGTTGCTTTTGAGTTTTTTTAAGTCAAGTCATTCTGTTCAGTTTGTTTGTAATGTTTATGTTGTGAGTAAGTCATTTGTGTGGTGCCTGGTCTTAGTTATAGTTAGAAAGAAGACTTTTTGTTAAAAAATAGTCATCAAAAACTGTCTTCAGAGAATTATATTTTAAGGTTTCCTTTGCCATAAAATGTTCCAGGCATTATTTAAAGTTACCCTCTGTTTTCTTTTTGCTCTTTATTGTCTTTATTTTAATCTTTTGAGCAGGGACAGCCTCATTAGTTAAATAAGAGTTCAGTACCACCATTGTGTATTTTGTGTCAAAGGACAAAATATATACCAGCTACACAATAAAAATGTTCATACATGAAAGAGGATGTACATGTATCAACCAGAATTACCAAAATTGTACTACATGTGTTCACAGGGAGCTTCTGAACCAATCAAACTGCGAGACTAGATGTCACAGCCATGAACTTGTTAGATTATTTTGAAAAATTGTAGATGAAGTAAATGCAGGGAATTTTCTGTAATCTTCAAATCAAAAAAAATTTTGAATATACAAACTATGCACTTCGATTGCCTCAATGCATGTGGCCCAAGCATGTTATGCACACAACTTATATGCATAACTTCTTGTCATTCCAAACTCCCACTGCAAATGTTTACAGGCCTTGGCAGGGCGTGAAATTGCGCCTAAAACAGGCGCCAATGCAACTAAATTTTTTACCTTGGCGACCAAATCTTGCAAATTAGTCACAAAATTGGCGACTAGAATGTTTCATCATAACCATGCCAAGAGATATAGTGAATTAAAAGATTTGCAAAGATAAATCCGCAGCAAACCTCCTCGTTGAGTTTGTTTCCAAAACGCAGCACATGCCTCTCGATCGATAACTAGACACCATCTTGAATTTAGGTGACCTTGAGCATTGAATATCATCCATCCTAGTGTCCACTTTGTAACACGTTAAAGATATTTTCCCTATCTTAATTTTGGAGGGTCTATCTAGAACGCTGACAGCATAAAAAAAGGTTTTGTTTGTCTTTGAAAATGGCGTCAAACTTTTTTTGAATTGGCTACCACCTTGAAGAATTTAGGAGCCAAGTGGCTATCAGAAAAAAAAATTAATTTCATGCCCTGCTTGGTAAAAACTCTACATTGATTCTGCCATGACATACAGAATGTAGATGCAAAGGAAAAATTCTTCAATCATAACATGACTTAAAACTCTTTTCAAAAAAGAAAAAGCTCAGGTTTCAACAAAATAAGATCAGCTAAGTTAAGAAAATATAGGACCTTGCCTTGAAGAAAGACAATTTTTCACACATCTTCATGCAAACTTCCAACAACTTGTAGAATCCACTGACTACAGGGAACCTAAAGAACAAAAAACAACAGAAAATTAAATAAAAAGCATGCATACATGTAACTTCAACAATTTCTTGAAGTTATGACACAGTTGCCTGCTCCCAACTGAGTTGAATATGAATGGCTACTGATTAAAAAGAAAAAAAAAAGTGTTTCTCTTCACTGTATAGGTTATTACAAGTTGGTAGGACTCTAGAATCCAAATTTTGTTTTTCTTGTCTTATTAACTTGATTCATAATTTAACCAAAAATATTAAAATAACTAATGTGGACCAACAGAGTGTTTCTATTCTATACAATATAATTATGACAAGACTAGATACAAAAGCAACAGGCACACAAACATATAAATAGTACAAGTAACAACACAACAAAGCAGATCCTAACCACTGAACCCACCTTGAAGACATGATAATGATGTCTCTGCAAAACATGTTTATCCATCTTTCAAATAGTGCAACACAATAGTTGGGAAGAACACACCTTAAAAATCAAGACATTATTGGAATCATATAAATAGGGATCAAAAATTGTTGGAAACTTAGTGTTCTAGCTGATTACATGTATGTACAGTAACATCACATCACTTCCTTTTCCATCCCAAAACTCAATGTTTTCCTATACTCTAACAGTAACAATAGAAATGTCAAATCAAAGCATTATTTCAATGATAGTTGTACTGATCCATTTATATAGCCCATTCTCCATACAAATATGCTCTAATGTGCTTTACAACAATTTGTGGGGGTCTTTGGCCAGTCTGCATAGATGCACAGTTTTAGAATTTTTTAAGGGAATTTTTGCAGGTGCCCTGGATTTGGGACTTTTTGGACACAAGGCCAGATCCTATAACTAGGAGCTATGTTCCCCATGTTCTTTAATTTCCCCTGCCACTGGTACAGAGAAGATGTAGGAGACAGGGTCTAGGGTTTTTAGTCCTCATCCAAAAGGACTAGAATGTCTCACCATTGGCAGATGTCATAACAAAAGCAGCACTTTGTCTTCAGCTATTTACAACCCTATGTGTTGGTCCAGTCTGGGGCTCCAACCCTTGACCTCCTCCATGGCAGTTCAGCAAAAGAGCTAGCAACATAATTCATTAAAAAATCTACTTATTCTGAAGTTTGCCCTGGACCCTTCACCTGCAGAACTCTATCAGACTAATGAATATCATGAAGTCCTTGGGCACTTTAGGTTGGAGTCCTGCCACTGGGTCAGACAGAGACACTTCTTTGTCCTCTGTAGCAGGTGCAGGAGCATCACTGGCAGAACTCCTATCAAGAACATCTCCCTTATGAAATGAACAAAGAACAAGTGTTAAAAGAAAATAAGGTAACATAATTAAGATATTCTATTTTTAATTTACAATGCATTACAAGGTCCAAGCTAAGGTAAAATGATCAAAATTTAAACTGCCATTTGAATTGTTTTTCTTGTTCTGTCCCTTAGATTTTTTATTGAATTCCTTCCTTGCTTCCTCTACTGCACCATTACTATACCATAAACTACTTTAACACAATTGAGATTGAAGTCAGATCATTCTCTTAAGAATGAGCACTGATTTGCTTTAAAAGAAAAAAAAAACATAAGTAAGACATCTACTGATGAACTATATCAATATAAGCTTCAGGTTTTACCACAATGCAAGTTACAAATTCACATATTGAATATTTGTGATTATGGTTTTTATTTGATCCCTTAAAGGGGTTACTCCAAACCTTCATAGAGCTATTTCTTTTCAATCAAAATAAAGATAATTACCTTAACTCTCATTTTCCAAAATTATAAGTTATGCACTGGTTATTGAGAAAAACATATTTACCACTGCAGAAAAGTTAATAGACTTTTCATGTGTCATAATCATCCAAAGGGCACTTTTCTTGGCCAACAATAAAGAAGTAACTTTCTAATGATGAAACATAACTACTTAAAACAAGCTGGACAAAACAAGAGGGTAACTGCAGAAAACATAATGGAGAACTGTCACTTTCCTGAAAAGTGCCTTCCTGCACATTGTGAAATTCAGGGGTTTTGCAAAATTATTGGCTAGAGGCTCACAGAGTGAGCCAGATTTGACTAAACTTCATGAAAATATGCAGAAAACATTAACTGAACAATGCATGAAGAGGAAAACTTTGTTGCCTTTTTTCCAGATCTAACAAACAACGTTAGAACAGGAAAAAAAATCATAATTTTATTGAACTCTGTATTTAATGACTGTTCCACCAATATATAAACTGTGGTGGTTTCCTAGCTTAGACACAGTGGGTGCAAAGATTATTTCCCCAATGGCACCACAAAGATTTGGAGTAACTTTTAAAAAAGAAGATTTGCATTTGGAATTTCTCCATTTAACAAGTGCACTTTTTCAGAGTGAATCAGATAGTTATGAGTAATTTTTGACAGTTCAATAACACTACTGCAAGCTTGTGCGGTCTATTTCCCTGTCAAAAAAGCTTCACCTCTTGTGCTGAAGATGCCTTGCTAGAAGACAAATCCAGTTTATGAATAATACGAAGGATCCCTTTAATCATTTCATCATACAATAGTCCATGAATGACTTCATATTCCTCAACTTGCTTTACAATCAGGCTTTTGTCCTAAACAAGTCAACAGCATCTTAATTTCAGTATATCAACATAAAAGTCATGTTTGTACAGACAGTCCACAGGGACTTTGGAAGTACAAGCAAAACCAAAAAATTCTATAGAATCACCATATGACTGTACTGGATTAATTCAGTGTTTGCTGACTGGCAATTGTTTTAAAACAGTGACAAAAAAAATTATTGATTTTCTAGCATACCTTTAACTTATCCATGTCAAGGAGATATTCCCACAACTCTAGGTAATCTTTGAGAGATGTCTTAGGAGTTGACCCTTCATATGCCTCTCTTTCTTCTGTTATTGCATTTTCTTCACTCACCTTTAAATAAATCAAGGGTGTATTCACCTATGTTAGATACAATATGTACAGTGTCAACCCAGACACTTCCCTCAGTCAGGTGAGAGCATTGTCAAAATTGGTACCTTTCCTTCCCTCTTCTAAGTTCCCTCTCAAATACACTACCAAAATAAGAATAAGGCGACCCACTCCTCAGGAAGTTTCCCAGTTTCCAAGCATTAAGATACAAAGTGGTTTGGAATCAAGTAAATTTGATACCAACTGAATTCAATTTGATACAGAAAGTCATTTCAGTCCATACAACTTCATGCATTTCGATAAACTAGTGAACAAGAAATGGATGTTTGGATATCTGGATGATAAATAAAAACTGAACTCAGGAAGCACCAAAAAGTGCATGCAATAATTGCATGAGAGTAGTCACATAGTCCACGCTTTAGATTGAACTTGGTCAAATTATATTCATCATCATCATCTTTTATTTGCCTTATTTACACAATACAAAGAATTTATTTACAACAGTTATGGCTAGAAGGCAAGGAGACCCAGGAGGCCACCGAGCCACCTCACATATTGACGTATTGTTGAGACTTGCTCTGGTGATTTTAAATGAACATTCAATAGGAATAATCAAGCAAGTCTGACATTGCACTTACATGTACACCTTTCTTATCTCTCTCTTGATTCATGCATGCTAATGTGTTCTCCACTTCAGAGATGCAATATCGTAAACTCCTTTTATTAGACTGGTGAACAGTTGAAACCCTTCAAATTTATCCCTCAACAGTTTGAATCAAAATGACTGAGACTGTGTTGAAACAACTTTCTATGTGTATCAAGTCAAACTTTATTGATGAATCAAATTGACTTCAGTTACTATCCAATCAATTTGAACTGAAATGCCTTTCTATCCAAAAGGACCCTCCCTTCAAACTCTTGTCCTCAAAAAGTAGGGATATAATCCACTAGCCCTGCATCAGCACATAGCAAGGCATACATTAAGTTCCTTTTCTACTCTAGTTATCTATTTCTCTGTGTGCTTTCAAAGTTCTTTTACATGCACTCTTTGTGAGAAACTACCATGGTTCTCAGACAAATGATGGAAAAGATTGCATAACATCCATTAACCTTGTAGGTAGCTTAAAGTTCTCATTTTGCAAACATTTTTTCCAAACAATCAGTACCAGACTAAAGCTGCCTAGCAGATGATCAATTGAAGAAATTGAACCATTTTTACTTGTATGCAAAGTGATATAACAACTTGTTATACCACCACTGGCTATATGTTGTATCATCCAGAATAAAATAACTTATCATTTACACTTCTGACAAACCTCGTCCAGAATAACTGGATGTGAACAAGTTCTGATGAGACCTTGGTAAACTGTAGAAAGTGAAAAGTAAAGAGTCATCTTTGAATGAGAGGTGATCAATACAGTGTACATTTGAATCACACATGAGTGAAAAATTATTTTGCTGATGATCACTTAATGTGTGAAACTCAAGATACCACCCTCCATCTGAGCATAGAGCACTTAAGGATAAGTGAAACAACCTAAACACAGTACGTTTAATCACTTCTGTGCATATTCTCATACACATACCTATTTCTGAAAGAAAACTCCTGAGAACTGCACCTTTGGATGAGAGGTGGAAAAGCACCCTTACAAAGGCCTTACAGCAAAGAAATTTTCCTCTTGTATTCAATATTGCAAACTTGTCGAACAAAACTCCAACTAGTCTTTCCATGGAGGCAAGGATGGAGTCAGAGATCTGATCATAGAATGTGAAAAGTACCAAGTAAGAGTACCATAAACATCCATGTTCAGCATGTAGGAAACTGAAGAATCTTATAGGTGTAACCTTGCAATTGACCCAATAGGTTCAAATACAGACCTCCCTTTTTTATTATTCATAAGTGTAAATGACCAAGCAACATCTCTAGTAGTTAGGTGCTTTGATGTAATATATCAAACACGAGGAAGAGTGTTTCATCAGATATCTAAACACCAAGAAGTGGTTGAAAAAATGACACACAGCTGAGTTTTTTTAACCAACTTCAGGGTGTTTGGATATCAGATGAAGCACCCTTTCAAATGTTTGATATAGCTTCTCAAACCAATGATAATTCTTGGAGAAAATCAAAGCAAAAGTTCACCAAATTTTATGATAATTAAGATCACATATCCAAACCTCTTTCAAGGTTGTAATTTCCTTTGTTTTCTCAGCATGAATTATTAATGAGTTTGAGAACCAATTCTAACAAATTGTTTCAAGACATATGTATGTTGATTGGCAATTAGCACCCTTTTTTATTGAGTGTCATAAAACTAAAGCCAAAATAAACACAACAGTCAATCAAAACATAGGAAAATATCATATGGAGCAATGCAATGGGAACTAAAAAAAGAAAAAAACGAGAAAATTGTCTGAAGTAGGGGTAAAAGTAGTTGGTTATGAGTTACAGTTTCTTGTTGGCTGAGAAACTGGCAAAGGTTTCTTGACCAATTACAGAGCAAAGTAAACAAAAACCAAGGCAATGCCAAGTTCATAAAACAGTACTTTGAAAGTTTCTCTATCTCAGACCCTGTGATTACAAAGGGAGATTTTAGACTGCTTGTTGATGTAGCAGAAAAGTGCCTTCTATTTGGGGAACAATTGATCCATTTGTTCTTCAGAGATTGAAGCTTGGTTGATACATTTTACAACCACAGGAAAACTACCCAATTGAGGAAGTCATTTTATGCATGGTTTGTGATAACTTAATCGCAAAAAGTGAATTCCCAACACAAATGTAGGACATGTAACTGTTATAATCATGGATTACCAGTCATTTCGTAACCATGTATACTTTTAATCCATCCTAAATTAGCCTACTTTGCAACCTACATGTAATGTTTATATTGCTCATGTGTCAAAAATTAAGAAATCATAGAACTAAATTGAGTACCAATCTTTTGTTTTCTATCAAAATGTAAACCTACAGATATACTATACTCAATCACAAGTGGTAATAGCATACTGGTTTCTGTCAGTCTCACTGATGTAGGAGGTGTAGCAGTCAGAGCAGTTGATCTTATAAACTGCTTCCTGTCTCTTCCTCAGTTTGTCTTGGTCTTTAATGTTAGTTAGTAACTGACGCAGTGTGGTAATGGGTTTGTGAACGACATGGATATTGAATGGTTGTAGGAAGAGTGAGATGTTCTCAGATATGCCCTTTATGTGCGGTATAGTTGCTGTAGTCATAGAAGTTGCGTTGTCACTAGCTTCAGTAGCAGTAGTGAGTCAGTGAGTGTTTCATCAGATGAAGTCTGTTATAGTCAAGGTACTTCTCACTGGATTAGCTGTCTGTTGTGTTGCATAATAGTTGCACTCATCATGTGAGAGTCCTAATAGTTGTGGCTTTATGTGAGGTCAGGTTGTAGGATGACTTGTCTAGTAATCTGTTGGTATGTGTCGGTTTCCTGTAAACTGTTGTCCACAGTGAGTTGTCGTCACGGCTTAGCAGGAAGTCTAGAAAGCTAGTTTAGCACTTTCTTCGACCTCTCTGGTAAACTGTGTCAGTGTTTTGTCTGTTTAGGTGGTGGTGGAATGCCTCAATTTCTTCATGTTGTACAGTGGTGAATTTTTCATCAATGTAGTGTAACCAAAGCAGTATCATTTGCCAGCAAGCCGAAAGGGCACTCTCTTCAATGTTCTGCATCACAATTTCTGTTACAACAACAGAAACTGGAGACCCCATAGCTGTGCCATGTAACCATTTGTAGTGTTTACCATTGTACTGAGGTAAGTTGACATAAGGCAAAGGTTTAGTAAGTCCATAATGTCCTCTATTGGCAGCAGTAGAGGGTCTGTAGATTGTTGAATTGCAGTCTCAGTACATTGTAGTGCCAGTTGAAGTGGAATACTTGTAAAACGTGATTTCACATCAAATGACACTAGTTTGTAGTCATCAGGTATCTGTATAGTCTTGGTGGCATTAATGAAGTCCTTTGTGGATTGCAGTTTATGTCTGGATTTGTTGGTGAGTAGTTGTAGTATTGTTGTCAGGTACTTGGACGGTTGGTATGTGGGAGAACCACAGAAAGAAACAATAGGTCGCATCAGGAAACCAGGTTTGTGTAGTTTCAGCAGACCATAAAGTTTCAGTGGCTGTGGTCCAATGTCCAGAACATTGAAGAAAGCACCCTTAAATATATGTATGTTGGGAGGGTAAGAATCAATCAGTGGTTTGGGTACAAATGGACCAGCATTTGGGTATGAATGGGCTTTAACTTTGGTTTGAATGAACTGCATTTGGATACCAAACAAGTGAGTACAAAACAAACATGGGTACAGAATGACCAATAAGTGATCATGTTGTGTAATCGAAGATTTAAGGCTGCACCTCACCCTTCAAAATTTGAAAAATGTTGTTGTGAGAAATTTATAGTTATCTACATATACAGTCTCATACTTAAGAAGAAATTCCATGGGTAAGTTTACAAACCTCATCCAGCTCTTCAATGATGGATGACAAAGCTTCTAAAAAGGTGGGAAGGTGCTGAACTCTGTCTTCAAATAGACCACCTTGGCTAAGCAGTTAGGAAAACAATTCATTAACACAGGTCACATCACGTCCTATAAAGTCTCATAATATCTTATCAAGTGAAACCTTGAGCCTATGTAATCTCTGCTGCTATTGGAATAAAGGGGGTAAGTTTCTAAAGAAACTGTGGTGCTGCATCGGTGGGAGAGTGTAACAGGTAATTTAGTGTTAACAACTAGGTTGAAAACGTAAATTGGCCACTGTAAAGAGTAAAAAAGCTGATGTTTTGAGCATTGGCCCTTCGTCCAATTGCTCTGATGAAGGGCTAATGCTCGAAACGTCAGCTTTTTATTCTTTATGGTGACCAATTTACATTTTCAACCTAGTTGGTAACACTAAATTCTCTGCTGCCTTTAATTACTTGTGAGGTTGACTGTTTATGAGTGAACTATTTGATGCACAATTCCTGCCCATATGAGACTGTTGAAGCTAGAAAATCACATCTTCTGCTGGCTGGTCCAAGAGTTTCATCCTATGTAAATGGAGCATACTGTCTTTCTATTTTCCCAGAGGACCTGTTCCTTGATTTCCTGGACATGCCTAGTTCAGAGCTATTGTCAAGCACTGCACCACCCACATAGGTTTGGGTTCTTTAGAAAATGGAAAAACTTATTCAGCCCCAAAAAGCTCCAAGAAGTAAAGCTACCAGCACTATAAGAATTGATATCCTGCATAGAAAGAGGATGTATAAGGTGTCAGGAATATGAGAAGCAATTTGAGAACAAATGTCACCAATGTAGGTAGCCCATCCAAAACAATCATAAGCATTTCAGTGTAGATTGTGAAAAGATCTAAATGTGAACTGTCAAGAACTCAAGATTTTTAAACTTGGGTAAGCCCCAAGGGTGAGCCTGCCTACACTGTGTATTTATCAAGCTTTCTTTTTCAAAGTGAAGTCAAGATAATATTTCTTCACTGTGCATTAACCATGATCACACCTGTGCACAAAACATTGCACCTAGTAATGCTGCAAATTAGTGATTTCTGTCTTCAATCTCTACTATCAAAGGCTACCAGGATAATTGCCAAATGCACAAAATGTGACTCCCAAAGCACTTCCTACACTTGACTACATTGGAAATAGGCATCAGATTGTGCAAGTCAGTGAAAAAAAGTCTGAACTTGTCAGTTTGCAGTTTGAAACACTAACAATCTTAGCACAACCCATCATGACTGCACCACATTTCATTTAGCAGGCAACAGGACCTTTATCTAAACTGTGCCTTTCAGACCTGCAGGGGTTTAAAAACAAGCCAGCAACCACCAGAGTCCCACCAGCTAAGGGTTAGGTCGCAGGTTACTGTGGTCAAAATAATTACCTTTTGGCCTTATTGAACTTTTCACAGTCAGCTACTTTAGCAGAGTCTGACACCTACTTCAAAACATTTTGAAACCCTTCAACCTGAATCCTACCATGGCTTTAAAAGTAAATAAAAAAACTCCAAGAGGTTTAACTATATTCAGCAGCATGATTCAAGTGGAAATGGTCACCCTCCATCACCTTCCTTACAACCGTAAAGATCTCTCGAATGTCCCCTTTCCTAACCCTAGGCAATTACTTTCATTGTTCACAAGATAATATTTAAACTTCAGGACCCCACAGTCATGAAAACTTACTACAGAATAGTATCAAAAGCCTTGAAAATGCATCATTATCTAGTGTAAGCCTAGTTGCACTAGAGTTGGAGTTGTATGTACATTTGTACAGTCCACATGCATGAGCTCAACCAGCAAGCAAAGACTAGAAAACAATTGTTGATGAACATCTGTACATTTGCTTCTCACCCTGAATACAACTGCTCACTTCTCTGCATAATCTCACCAAGCATAAACCTCACATCATCAGCTTGCATGAACAACTTGCACGGCTGCCAAGGGAAAGACATTTGATCATATTCTCCTCCATTAATTCACTGCTCAGAGCTATTACTTGTAGACTTAATAGTCACTAGACTGAATTTAAATTCTAAAATATGTTCTATTAAACTCCCTGCACCAACAGAATGTGGACATTTCCATTACAACATAATCAATTAAAAATGTTAGTAGGAACCATTAGATTTGTGTAATAACACTGTACTTAAAGGACTTATATGATAATTATTTTATTAGTGAAGCAATTACTAAGCAAAAACTACATTTGCTCTTTGCAATTTCCTGTCTTCTAAACAATAATAAGCAAGTGGAAAATATACTTGGTTTTCAGGTAGGTCCAAACCCCCCCCCCTTTCCAACAAAACTAACAAAAAATAATTTCTAGATTTAGCCAAGCCTAACAGCAGAGCTCCAGTTAGTTTATTTTCCACCCCTTCACATTATTAAAACTCCTTAGCACTAACTGTTGAAGAGTATATTCAAGGGGATTTGGGGACCAGTCCAGGTAGGGGAGGGGGGAATTGATGGGGTCCATAAGCAAGGGAATGTGTTCTCGCAACTTGCAAGGCAACAGACACACATGCTAGTTGAAGGAATTCTTAAGCAGCTGAAGACCTTTGTTAATGTTCTCATTGTTTTGACTGGACTTTTGAGGATAAGGAATGTTTTGTTCTTCAAATGTAGTGTATGATGTCAGTATCATTTGAAATGCTATTCTATGGCACGTGAATGACAACCTCCACTTGGGAAAATGAGCCAAAATTGAAAGAAACGATGGTAAACAACTTCCAGATGAGGTATCACTGGGCAATTGAAAGGGTATACACATGAGGACACTGAGTTAATGAAACAATATGCCAGAATTGTATGGCCCTCTCTCAGATCTTCTCTTGATGTCACCAGGTATGACTGCTTACTCCACTAATTTTTCCCAAACATGTCACCCTCCACTGATAAGTGAAGAAAATTAAAAATAAAAGTCACTTTCAAGTTGTGTGTAAACCTGTTAACTTTAAACTTCTTCTCTTTCTAAAATTTGCATTCCATAATTGTCCTCTGGCTGGATTTTGGATTTTTCTGTCATTTAATTCAGTAACCTCTGCTCTACCTGCACATAATTTCACCGTCTTTAAACCAACCATCCATGATCTTGGAAAGTCTAGCTAATGAAATTCAAAATTTGTCCAGCATCTGTTTCTTGTGACAAGCTAGACCTAGAATGACAAAACTTATTGATGAAGAGAGACTTAAGATTTGATCATGAAGCCTTTTTTGTACAAACCGAGAAATAATCCCTCATTTGTACACCACAGAAGTTAATTCCAAACATCAAGCAAGTTTTCTCTTTAGTGTTAAAGTTGAATTGATGTTGTTATAGGCCACATTAAAGAGATTGTAAAGTTTTGGATGGTATTCTTTCATGTTGGTAAATAAATACCAGCATGGTAAATAAATACCTCCAGGTAAATAAATCTTTCCTAGAGGGTGGAGTTGTGCCAACGTCAACATAAAACACAACACCTAATTTTATTGATCTGGGAAAAGTATTCATTTGACCATTCACTAAGACTTTCTTCAGTTCACTTTGAAAAAATTTAAACATCAAAGTTTTTGAGAAGGCTTAAGTATTTGTTAAAATTTGCCAACTCATGTAACAACTCAGGTCATACATTGAATGAAAGGTTTCTCTTCCATTTTTCCACTAGTGCTGTAGCAAGCTGGCAAATCTTTGTTACATATCTCAATCCAACCATTTTGAAATGAAATATTTGTGGCATATATGCCATGTCTGAAATATTCATGTTCCAAATAAGCTAACAGGATTAAGGAGGGTGTAGGGAATAGGCTTGGTTGTTTGTTTCATTCAATGCTTTTTGCTCCAGTTACTAACTTTTTTGATGATGTTGGGCTGTCAGGGCAAGGGACTTTAACAGGCCAGCAGATTTAGGGAAATTTTCATGTATCATTGTGAAAAGCCATACTTGTGCTGGGTAACCCATTCTTATTCTGACAAACTAGTTTTAGGAAAGATGCACTATTTTATTACATAAATGTGATGATTAGACTGTGCAAAAGACTTGAATTTGACTGTACTTTTATAGCCAATACCCACTATGACACATAATAAAATGTTAATAGGGTCATAGGAAAAATTACTGTCATCCATCTGCAAGATTTCATGTGATTAAAAATAAGGTTCAAAAGACCTGTTGATAACTGAAACCTGTACTTTAGGCCTGCTGTGACTTCAAAACTTTGATGTGCACTTCAAAAGAGAACAGATAAATTTTCTATTCATTCAATTTAGGTTATTCAGATAATATTGAATCAAATTTTCTTGGAACAAGACAATCAAGACATTTTTACAACTAAATTATAAAATTTGACAGAAAAGTAGAGATGCTAAGTTTTGAGCTCGGTGAAGAATTAAGAAAGATGTTTTTCGTCTTGTCATGAACGTGGGACAAAGAAAAATTCTGAGTCCCCTTGAGGAATCGAACATCAGAGCTTCGGATTTTTCACAAATCTTTCAAGCTACAAACTTGAATTAAAATAATTTCCTCTGGTTGACAAAGCTTTAGCTCTGAGTTTTGTTGCTTCGCAATTTGACTAGAAATTGTAAAATACTCTGCATTACTGTCAAACTACATCCACACCAATATGATTTCAAAACACAGGTTGCAAGTTGTTTCCTTGCACGGCTTCACATCTTCTGGCAAAGTTTGTTATGAGAGGTGCCTTAACACTTTTAAAGGTGTGACAGTGTCTAATGGGCCACTACCAGTGCATTGCTGCTAACTTTGGACATTGCACCACCACCAGATTAGACAGAAGTAAGCTAATACCAGATAAATGAAATAGGCAATAACAGACTGTAACATCATGGCAGAGGTATAAATCAATGTGCACAAACTTAGAACACTAAATGAAAGAAAACTCCTCACACAAATTTGATAATGGCTTTCATCACCATTCTGAATTACAGATTAACAATGCACCACTTCCATAGATTTGATCCAGTTATTCACATTATAAACTAATTCAGATAAAACAGTTCAAGTAGTTGCTGGAAACAACAAGCATCACAATCATCATGCTCATCCACATGGAAATTTAAAGACACCAGCATCAAGTAAATGCTAGGATCCCCATCCTCAGGTATTGCCTAGTTTCAACAGCAGCCATGAAACAGACTTCAAGTTCAATGATGCAGCCATTAACCAGAAGGGTCTTTGTGACATTTTATTTGTGCCTACTAACATGGAATACCTAATCCCTTGTTAACCACAGCACAATTAGATGTAATCATATTGATTTACCATATTAAATTCTGGCATCCAGCCCCAGCTCCCTCTAAAATGTTGTAAACCAAATCAACACATTGAGAAATACCACAATTGCTTGCTCAAATACATAACTACAGTCAAAGAGCATGTATGCAAATTGATCTGAGTTCTTGAACTACAATTTCCTTCTTTCATTGTATTAAATCCAGGTTCAGAGGTCCTGGAGACATCAGAAAAAAACCTAGTATCATGGCCTGGACTATGGAGTGATTTATAGCTGTATATCAGGTCTATGTTTAGTTTTCTTAGAAGTCACAAGGTATGATTTGAGGAAGCCATTGATCACAAGGTTTGAATTTGCCACCTAGCCTCATCATAAGAATCCATCCATCATAATTTGTTTAAAACCATACCCTGTTGAAGCAAGGACTTTATAGTTTGAATAGGTCCTTGTCCTATGAGAATTTAATTAGCAGTTCAACAAGCACACAAATGTAGGAGATAAGCATACAACATTCACTCCACCAAGACACTAGTCCTAGTCCTTTCATCCTAAAAGATACTTTAATAGGCCACAGTCAGCAATAAATTGTGCAAACAAGGGATAGTCTGGGTTTGTTGTAAATCATTTACTATATTGTTTAAGTCTGGCATTAACATCTTAAAAAGGTGAAAATCAATTTTTTCTGTGGCAACATGACCAAATCTGCCCTAACACTGGCTCTGCACTGAGCTTAATTATCAGTCATTAAACACATTGGGTGTGTTTTGTTTAGCAGATGTTATAATGTTATTACAAATTTCTTAACCAGCAGAGCTATTAGTGTTCCATTCTTCTAAATACTCAGCAAGTTTAACTACAGCTATCTGCAATAGATCATAATCATTAAACTTTAAAAATTACAACAACCAGTACACAGATATCTAATGTATGTATATCAAGTGACCCTTGAATGCAAATGCCATTAATGGACCTCTATGATTCATCAAAATGAAACCATTTGAAGACAAAATTGTTACTTAAATTTATAATACAAATGCAACAAATATAAAAGGAACCATATTGACCTTAAACATCACATCACTAACAAATACATTCTGTACTTTGTTTCATCTTCAATATCATGTTATGTAGTTGTAAACATGGTTTCTTTCTTATCTTCTCTTACTCCTTTCAATCAGAAATACTGAGTAAAACTTTAGTATTTAAGTCCCTCGCATCTTCACAGTATCCAGTGGTGACAGTCTTGTATTAAGTAGCTCATTTCATATGGCATGATTCTTCACAAATTAACTCATGTACTTCACTCATACAGTATTGAGCCAAAGAAATGCAAATGTAAATTCATTTTGTACAGTATGCAGACCAAACTGTTTCAAACACCCTTAGCATATTTCACCATGAGCTCACTAAAAACAGAGCCCAAATTTTTATTTGGCTTGAGCATGTTTAACAACACAGTGCACATGTTCACTTACCACTAAAAGACCTTCCCTGAATAAGCTCTCACAACCTTTTACAACCATGTCCTGACTTAGCTTGTTCTTAGCATGCACTCAGTCTAACAAATTTCATTATAAGCCGTGCATGGCAAATTGTCACAGAACTAAACCCAAATATTAAATTCATCCTCCTAAGGAAACCCACATAAAAATCTATATAAATATAAAATAACTCCTGAATCAATATTTAAAATACCTTAGAGAGGTAACCATAACCTCTTACAGCAATTGCCATCTGCCTCGTATCACTTGACACAGAATCAAGTATTCCACGAAAAGTCTTGATGAAATACTACAAGAAAAGAAAGGCATCTCTTCTATACTAACACTATAAATGCACTTTATCTCCATTTGGAAAAGTGCAGTGTTCATTTCATTGGTCTGTATCATAACCTTACTTGTCTGAAAAGCCTGATAACAACAACTACTGGTAAGAAGTGGGATTCACATGACAAAAAAAAAATATGGCCAGCCCTAAAAACAAAATTAGACTCATGTAAATAACAAAAAATGAAATTTACATGTATCTTACTATTTGGAAGCAGTACTTATTTTCATGGAAGTACAGATAGAAAATATATTGACAATTACTAATAACATTGTATAATTATGTCCAAAGTCAGGTAAGATTAAAGGTTTACTGGTATTGCTCACTTTTGGTAATAGGTTTGAACAAGTGAGCTCATCATTTTCCTTGTTCAAAAGGGTAAGTTACACATTCCAAACATTTGGGGGAGCCTAAGTTGGGTGTGTAGAAAACGAAGACCAAAGACCAAAGACCGAAGACCGAAAAACGAAAACCCTAATTTTTTTGCCCAAATAAGGCACGGACAGTTAAAAAACCAAGCCAAAGCATTCCTCAGTGCAAACAGATGTGAAAATAACAGGGATCTTCGTTTTGTAGAAAAGACCCACTGAATCTACAAAACGAAGACCCTTAATAAAACGCTTTGTTAGACCCCAATTGACGCGAAATCAAGGGGGTCTTCGTTTTGTAGAAAAGACCCCCTGAATCTATAAAACAACAACCCTCACTAAAACGCTTTGTCAGACGCCAATTGACGTGAAATCAATGGGGTCTTCGTTTTGTAGAAAAAGCCCCCTGAATCTATAAAACGAAGATCCTTGCTAAAACACTTTGTCAGACCCCAGGGAAGGGGGGGGGACTCCTATACATTGCCTATAGGGGTATGTGCTGCCCGACGGGGTCATGATTTCAGAGCTAAAACGCTTTGTCAGACGCCAACTGATCCAAAATCAAGGGGGTCTTCCTTTTGTAGAAAAAACCCCCTGAATCTTTACAATGAAGACCCTTGCTAAAACGCCTTGTCAGACTCCAAATGACACAAAATCATTAGGGTCTTCGTTTTGTAGAATTCGAAATGACCGTGTGAATATACAAAATGAATACCCTCAATTGGATAGTTCCCTTTGGCAATGAAAGTTAGACACAAAAAGAATAAAATATTGTTTTATTTGTGGTTATGCAATTCTGGAATTATAGAAACTATACACAGGGAAAATGTCTTCGATTCCTGATAAAATTAACAACATTTTAAATACTCATTCCTATTTAAAAACATTAACAGAAACTAAAGTAAACAACGATGTGCTAATTATCAAATTATAGTGAAATTGAAATCCCCTGTATCACATTTGCAGTGATGTATAAGTACGTATACAGTATGTATACAGGCATGCGTGTTCTCCCTACTATTGACACAAGCTAGAATATACGAGGAACTAATTCATACTAGAAAAAATGGCTGCAATCCTCATTTACTGGGTTATTATTCTAACAGCAATTACAGGGAAAAAATGGTACTCGTGTTTCCTTCGAAATATCTCGTCTTAGTAGCTCGCTTTCAAAGTACACATTTTGCCAGCAGGTTGAGAGTGGTGCACCAAAACAAAGCTTTGCAAAATATGAGCACATAACCTAATGTATAAGGCCTATTCAGCCAATTATATTAGGATCAGTATTAAGTCACGCAAGAATGCACAGAACAAAACTTCCTTTACAAAATATGTGCAATTTTTATACTGTCTTTTTATATTCAGCTATAACCTGTCAGTTTTAAGAATCCTTATTTGAAAGTGTTAAAAATTGAGGCACAGTATGCAGAAACCTCAGCATCCTTGACAACTTGCATACACATACTCAAATCAAACCAATCAAAATCAAAATTTACAGTTTTCCTCGTTCAATGTAATTTTACAAGACCGGTGACACTGCAACAGCTGGCGGCACAATTACTACATTTCTTGCATATAAAAAGTAATAGATTACCCATGAAATTTTTGCTACAAATAGTAATCCACAAGCGAATGTGTTTGGCAGTTAGCTTTTAGCGTTATTGAGCATAGTGAACATGCACATGCAAACTATCCATCTATCTTTGTTCGCTTGGATGTGCTCAATCCTGATGCATACACAGTGTGACATGCTCTGGATGAAGGAAAATTTAATCAAAGGTTATCCCAAATTCATTTGCAAGATAGTTTTTATGGGAATCGCAAAGACTCTCCTCAACGTCACTGGGTATGCGAATGTAATCTGCAGTAAAGTATGGGAATCTGCTTATCAGGCACTTCATCGAGGCATGATAGTATCTGACTGTCTTCCGTTGGGATGGCTTGCAATTAGACCAATCTCCATTGATGGGATACATCCATCGCTCTCTGTAGGAAAAATAACATCGAACGGAATGACCTTCTTCCTATGACAAAAGTCCAGATGGCACGATTTGCACCTCTTCGCACCTTCTACGAGAAACATCAACTCAAATTTGTTTTCATTATGGTGTATCTCTGAGTATAATGGCCCCGAAGTGGTAGCTGTTTCCGTAGATCTGCTCGAGCTTGGCTGTGTCTTGCCCCTTGCAGGTCGATAGCCATATTTGTTCTTTCCTCCTTTTTTTTCCTGCCGTTGCTTTCTGCACATCGTGCTCAGCAAGAGCTGTTCTTTTACTAACTTTACTTGATTTCTTTCTGATGAAATTAAGATGGTCTGTCATAATTGCTTTGAAAGAGGCTACTGCTAGGGAGTGCTTGCAGACTTTATCATACTTATACCATCCACAAACACAAGTTGCATGATCCCTATAAACAGAGACCTGCACTGTTCCATTCTTGGCCCCTGTACTTGCAACTTCAAATTGAACTACTCCCTCGGTTTGCAGACTTGCTTTTCTCTGAATGGCAGTAAGGTGATTGAGAAGATAAAGAACTAAAGATAAATAAAGATGGATTCCACTGCTGTTGGTAATTTTTCGAAGACCTCCCTTTCAAGTTCCTGGATAATGCTTTCAACAACGCCAATCGACAGGAATATGCAGGCGTTGGTTCCATCGTTTATTGGCATAACGTTCGGTTGTAAGGACTTCACCTGCTCTTGGAAATCTACAGCAACCTTTTGATCAAAATGCTCAAGAGCAGTTGCTTGGCTAACCCTAAGGTTAATGACCTGAAAGTCCATTGAAAATCTGTCGTGACGCCTGGCTAAAATTTGGGCTGCCTCTTGTAGGGACAAGCGTTTCTCTCTGTTAAAATTAAGGCAACCTCGGAAAACTTCCTCTAATGCAAACCAAACAGTAGCACAATCAATGTCATACTTTTTGTTGTGTTGTGGTAGTTCCTCTTTCCGTAAAAGTTTGGTTATGAACTTCTTCAGCTGCTCCTGAGTCCTTACACCTTCTGCCCGCATTTCTGAGATGTAAGGACTTTTAAGGCTTTGGTTAAGCAGCGTAAAGATGACCATCCCCAGCGCCCAAACGTCTGTAATTATTAGATCTGCGATAGAAGCCTTCGTTAAGCACTTTTCTTCAACCAGAAGCTCTGGTGACGTGTAGACCACTGTCCCTCGATCAACAGTGGTGGCCTTGGAGCTAATGAGTAACTGCGTCTGAATAAATAGTGACCAACTTTCACCAAAATCAGTCAGCTTACAGACAATCGGCCTTTCATGATAAATTTCATGTAAATCTTGCGACTCTACTGACATAAAGCTGTAGTGTTGGTTGCTAACTAAAATGTTCGCCGTTTTGAGATCTCTGTGGGCGATCCCTGTTTGGTGCAGATACGCTAGGCCACTTATTATCTCTGTGGCTGCATGAGAAACCAATTCTTGAAATCCAAGACTGTCATACTCGTCGATTTTTATAAGAAAATCGGACAGTGTACAGTGTACAGTGTACAGAAAATAGTTTAGAAATATTAAAAATTGTTTCATTTGTGTTTTTTCTCCAGAGAGTGTTTGGCTTGTGTCAGTTGCTGTCAAAGTTGGTACTTCCGGTAAAATGTAAATTACTTCTTCGGGTTCCGGACTGAACGTGAGAAATTTACAAGAGTTCCAACTTAAAAAAAGGTTTGCAAATGAAGAAAATCGTTTCTATATTAAAAGCGAAAAAAAAATCGTATATTCGTTTCCAAATAAGACCAAATAACGCGCCCGCTCTTTTAATTTTTTGCTCACTCACAACCCGCTTTAACAGGGGTCTATTTTTTTTTTAGATTCACACAGCGGTCCCTTATACGAACAAAGACCTCAATTATTTCGCGTCAATGGGCATCACACAAAGCATTTTTAGCGAGGGTCTTCGTTTTATAGATTCACGGGTTTTTTTCTACAAAACAAAGACCCCCTTGATTTCGCGTCAATTGGCATCTGACAAAGTGTTTTAGCGAGGGTCTTCGTTTTGCAGATTCAGGGGGTCTTTTCTACAAAACGAAGACCCCCTTGATTTCGTGTCAATTGGGGTCTAACAAAGCGTTTTAGTAAGAGTCTTCGTTTTGTAGATTCAGGGGTCTTTTCTACAAAACGAAGATTCCCATTATTTTCACATCTGTTTGCACTGAGGAACGCTTTGGCTTGGTTTTTTAACTGTCCGTGCCTTATTCGGGCAAAAAAATTAGGGTCTTCGTTTTTCGGTCTTCGGTCTTCGGTCTTCGTTTTGTAGACACCCGCCTAAGTTTCCTGCCCTGTATTGACTAATTCCCTTTGGATTGAAGGGTATGTAAGCACAGTTTTACACTGCTTAGAAAATATGACATAAGCCAATGAAACCCACAGGTCACAAAGGGTACTAGGAGAAAATGACTGAGTACATTCATAAAAAAAAAGCATAACCAAACTTTTACTGGTGTGAAGATTTTTTTTTTTTAATGAAGGATTTATGCTGTTTGGTGACAAAAAGAATTTTGCCTAACAAAAAATTAGTTGGCCCATCATCCATATCGAAAAGACACCAATAATTATTTTACATCCCCTTTGACCAAAAAAAATTTACAATACCAGTAATTTTCATTTATCGCCAAGTTCTCAGGAGGCAAAACTGGAACTTGATGTGTGAAAAACAATGTGCAATGAACATGAAAAACTCTCACCATGAACATGGCTAGGTCAGATTTGTCTCCATGCCTTCCAACAAAGTAGAGGGAAATCTAATGAGGAGATCAAACAGTAATCAAAATTACATCAACTACAAATAGGATTTACCAGCAATAATAGTCAAACAGAAGTGATGCATGTAGGTATGCATATGTCCTCTTATGGAAGCATTTAGTATACATAGAAATAAAGTACATCTGGACAAGAATTTTAAACATGACTAAGGTGGTGAAAGGAGGATACTGGTTGCCCATGGGCCCACTCCTCACAACAATAACAAAATGTCAACTCTACATAATAGTGGGCAAAATGGTACAACTGTAGCTACCACTACTTAATTGATTGTGTAGTCTGACGGTCTAAGTGAGGGTAGTCCTGATAATGATATCCACTAGGGATGTAATCATCCCTCAGCTTCAAACCATTTTTTTTTGTAATACTCAGTGACCTAATATCACACCTGTTGGAAAAATGCTTCCATTGCAGCATATGCAGCATAACTTATTTCCTTGTTGTGATGCTTGCACCAACGGTAAAATTCTTCATAAATCACCTGATTAGAGTAGATCAGCATCTTAGCAAAATACATTTCAATTGTATGTCACCTTTATTTAAGGTGTATTTAGCGAAAGATATGAGATATCTCTTTTGACCATCTTAATTCGAACGGAAACTAGCATCCCACTATATTACAAACAAGGCAAGCATTAACTTTTAAAATAATTACCACTTTCTGCAGGAAAGAAAATTTCTGTCAACACTGGCTGAAGTTAATTGACAGTCGACACATGCCAATTGAGTTTAATTCCAAGAAACAGAGTGCAAAAATTTCTACATTGCCAACCTAATAAAGTGAACTTTACAAAAAACCTTCACTTTGGGTTTGGCAATACAGCCAATCACTTCCGGCTGATGGGGAGCACTCTTAGAAATAAGAGCAAGTGAGACACCTCTTGAAAGGTTTTTACAATAACCGATCTGTAACATAATTGGTGACTGGAACACAAAGTTTCTCATTGCAAGTTGAGGCTTGATTGTCAAATACATTTATTGTGTACATTAGATGGTACCGCATGGTTCACAGGTTATATCCATAGAGCAAATGGATTTATAATGGTAATTGAACTGATTGGAATGCTGTTAGGTCCAAACTCTTATGTGTGCAATTTCAAACCAAAATTGCACTCAGTCATTTCAATTACTACTTTATGACATCTATTTTGAAATCACAAAATTCAGTTGCTCATAACAAGTATTTTTAGTTGTCATGTTTTGGTAAAGCTGCCTTATTGGCTGGAAAAAGATGCAATTTAGAGCATAAATTGGTGTGATTTGTATATAAATTACACTGGTGAGAGTCAAACAGATTGCAAAGATCACAAGTGATCCAAATGGATGTGATGAGTGTCAAACAGTAATCCAAAATTTTGTATCACAGATACAAAAGTGGAGTGTAAGCCACTAGCACAATTCATTTTCCTAGATGGCTTTCTTACCCAGTAATCTGGAGTTACAGAAAGAAGCCTGTTAGGTTTGCTTGAGGGCAGAATCACTGCCTTCAAAAAAAGAGGGCCATGATAAATTCAGGGGTGGATTGATGTTTAGGCTAGCAAATAGATAGGGCTTAGGGACTGGAGAATAACTTCTTGGCAGCTTTGTGTCAAAAGGTGGCATCTTTAGTTGAAAGGTACTACTCTGTAGACACCTTTTTAGCCGATATTGTTACAGACTACCTTGCATAATCAGCAGTAAGAATTACATGCAGTGAGCTGATTTTCTGTAGGTAAAAAGCAGGTGAGTATCAAAAGCAAATGGCTAGGTAGAGGTTTCAGCCAACACAAAAATTAAAGTTAAGTTTGTTATCCTCTTGGGTATGTTTTAGTAAATCCATACAGTGTTATGCATAGTATATAATACATCGTACATACACCCTCTATTTCACTCTCATGGGTCAAATATTTATACCAGGAAATCTTGTGACAATCTAAACATTTGTGGCCACAACTACTCTGGTTCATCATTCATTTCATTTGGCTCAAGAAAGAGATTTATCATAAAAACTATGGTGCTAAACAAGGATTTCCAGCCCTGAGAAAAGCTGTAACAACACACATGAAAAAATATTGTACTTTTTCATGTGTGTTTGATATTGCCAATCAGCTGCTGACATGTCACTCGCCTTTCCCGCCACTCAATCAGGTTGATGAATGAATGGCAAAGCCTTCACCATTCTCAATCCAAGGTTGTTTGTCACAATATTTTCGGATTCTGGCTCCTAAAACACTGAAAAATTCATATCCCTTACAGACAGCGATGTTTAAACTTTCCTAGAGGGGGAATAAAACCAAGATGCAGAAAGAAAAACCGAAAGTTACATATTCAGTAGCTTTGGCGATGGCATTTCTCGTTGCTGAAAATGAAAATCAACTACTAGAAGATTTGCCTCAGGCCAATGTTGGCCTTGTACCTGAAAGATTTCTTCTATTGGTAAGGACCAAGTCAATAACGGAGAATTTTGTGTGTTGAAAATTACACCCATTGTTTGTCTTGGAAGTGTGTCAATGCATTTTATTCATCATGAGCTTTAGCACTAACACACTTTTTATATTCGGGGATTGTCGATGCTTTTATTTTCATTCATTAATAAAGTTGACTTTTCTTGTCAGTAAAGGGCTATTGTGTTTATATGATAAACAAAATAATACATGGTAATTTAGTGTTAACAACTGGATTGAAAACGTAAATTAGCCACCGTAAAGGGTAAAAAAGCTGACGTTTCGAGTGTTAGCCCTTCACCAATTGCTCTGACGAAGGGCTAATGCTCGAAATGTCAGCTTTTTTACCCTTTACGGTGGCTAATTTACATTATCAACCCAGTTGTTAACACTAAATTACCTGCTATACTCTCCCACCGACGCAGCACCACAGTTTCTTTAGAAACTTACCCCTTTATTCAAAATAATACATGGTTGCTTGTGGATGATATTTCTCTTCTTGTGTTCAACTCAACATCTTACTCATTCACTGTGCTCACTTGTGAGCTATCAAGTTAAACATTCAAAGAGAAATTCCATATCCACATGTGCCCATGTATTATTCTCTATTTAACTAACCAAGAAAAACTGACTTCTCCCCATACATTGTATCATCAAATTTTTGGTCATTTTTAAGTCATTATAAGTGCAAAATTAAAGGAAAAAACCAACCTCATAGTCTTTGGAAATATACTCCTTGAATTGAGCTGCATGTTTAGCAAACAGGTGAAGCCCAGCTGCAAATACAACAGAAATGGTGCAGTTTGTTGTACATCTACCAATATATTACCTGAGCTGACGTAGATGCTTGACAAGCATGTTAGGCCCAGTTGACAGTGAAAACTAGTCTATAGACAACATCCTGAATAATCACGGATTTTAGAGTCTCATTACAAAGTTGTTTTGCTATAAGTTGTTTCACTAAAAGTCAAAGTTAATTTGCTATATATTTTTTTGCTAAAGGTCAAAGTTGATTGGCAACAAATATGTCACTTAAGTCAAACAGGGTAATTTTAATTAGTATTATAAACTGAGTTGATAACATAGATTAGCCATTGTAATGAGTTTCAAGGCTGACGTTTCAAGCATTAGCCCTTCGTCAGAGCTTTTTTATTTGCTCTGTCCTGGGGCAAACACTCAAAATGTCAGCTTTGAAACTCTTCACTGTGGCCAATTTATGTTATGAACTCAGTTGATAATAATTAATTGCCTTGTTGTACTCTCCCACCCATATAGCACCAGTTTAAAATCATAACTCATGTTGTTATTAATTAAAAGATGTATAGCTACAAACTTATTTCAATTAACAGCCACATAAGATTAATTTTTTTTCCTATGCAAGTGGATGCCGATGACATAAGGATAAGGTTTCCTCCATTTATTCAAGGTAAATAATTATGAAATATAGTTGGCTTGATGCTGTTTCCCAAAAAATTGATCCTCTAGTAACTCTAGACTTTTTTTGGCTTTCTCTGAAGGTTTGTGTAAATGGAGCTTGATTGTCTGTCACTCAACTGGCGGTAACACAAGAAACTGATGGTCAGATCTTTTGAACACAAACTAAAAAGTTCACTTAAACCTACCTTTTGGTACTTCATAGCGACTAAGACTGACCTAAAATCATAGAAAGATTTTAAGCATTTTCTTACTTAGCACTAGAAGTAACATCAACATAATAAAATAGGATTGGACATTTCACAGTTTGTCATACCCTATGTAAAGACCCTGAAGGCAAGCATTACTCCTGGTAAGTTGATAACAATGGGACAAATCACATTTCAGGAAAACAACACAAGTAAATGAAATAAAATAAGTTACTTCTACTGGCTATCAAATCTAACCAAAATTGCTGACATGAAACTAAAATCCCTGAAGAAAACCAGAAAAGTACACATTGTATATGCTAACTAAGTATCAAAACTACAATTCAGAGATATTTTGAAAAAATCTTGATGCCATGAACTTTGAGCAAGTCTTTGCATCATCCGATGTGAATTCTTCTTGGGGTGTTTTAAGTAATGTTTAAAAAACGAGCGGGAGTGTTTTATGTGGCTGTTTTATGTTTTTTGTGGTTTTTGACCCGATAAAACACGTGCTGCAAGTTTTTTGAACGGCTTCAAAAACATTCTTGGAAAAGCGTGTGTCAAGAGAGTTCATAACAATTATGCTTTTGTGAACGTTAGAAATTAGCATACGAGAAAAACATTGTGATGATGTATTGTCTAATATGCCTTTAACAGATAACTGTACAAATGGAATAGAGAATTTTTCCAGATGTGTATTTCACAACTGTACTATTAATTTGGTGCAAAAGTAAATTTACTGTGTGAAATTTGTTGAAAGAACATTAAATATGTTCCCACCATTTGTTGTGTCAGTTTCTGTGTTGATAATTAATTAATATTCATAAGTCACGTGCAGTGTCTTTATATCTGATAAAACACCACATACTAATAAGGATGAGGTTTATCGATATAAAGTCACTGCATGTGATGTATTATCTACCATTTGATAGGTTAATGGGCTTATGAATTATTAATGAGTTTTTGAAAGAACATTTTATAGCAGTGTATCTATAAATATGTGCTGCTCTTTGAACAGAAGGTAAGGGGTGCCTGTGATTGACTTAAGAGGTCAAATAATAGATGAACCTGATGGTTTACTTAGGAAATCTTGCAGGACTACCTGTGAACCTGCCTGGTCTCCTTATAAGCAGCCTAAAAGAGTGATACACCTTATCAAATGCAAGAGCAAATTTCATCAGGATATTCTTAGAGGCAGTGCCAACTCTCCTGATAACTTCTGCACTGCCATTAAATAGCTGTACCCAACATTTAAAAGGTACATGTATTCTCAAAGCAAAGAAAAGCATTTAAGATAAATGGAACAAAGTCCATGGAGTGCCTACAATTCTGAGGACATACCTGAACACTAAATTCTAGTCAATATTTCGCATGCTGATACAGAACTCATTTGAAAGCATTCAACAAACAGATAAAAAACAGTCCTGTTCTGTTGTCTTGATTTAGTGTTTCAGGGTATATGGACAATTTTTGAGTCAGCATCCTGTCTTTATCTTTTAAGGTCCATCTCAAACTCATACCCTGATGTTGGCCCCATGAAACACACCAAAAGTTTCCTGATACACTAAGACTTAGATCACACTTTTAAAAGGGTAGCCCTAACCTAAAAAACAATATTCTCAATATCACATAAATTAATCTTAAGAAAAGTGAGGTGTGCACTCTGGCCAACTTTCTCACTCAGTCTTGGTCTCTGAAGCCTCGAACAACTACAACTGTAATCCTAACTGTTGCCACTTCCTCACAAATGGGACTTCTAACAGAACAAGGTTCCCTAATAAACAGTACCCACAATGTTAGCCACTATTTAAATATAAGATTCAGAGGACATACTTGTGGATTGATTGCCATTCTTGCATAGGTGTAAATATCTTTGGCATACTTGGAACCTTGGAACAAAGCAGAAATTAATCATTAAATTCAGTCCTTAAAATCATGTCATTTTGATATGAGGTCCATAGAGTGGTTAATGAGATAGTTTAGATAGCAAAAATTGGACTGTTTCTGAGAAAGATGGGATTATCTTATGTGGGTTGGAGGGACTTAGCTTGACCTAACCTATTTCCATGAGAATGCATCCAAGGTGTGAGCACTTATTCAAGGAAATAAGATGTGTTCATTTGAGCACTCATTTTCCAGTATAAAATGATGATTAAGGTTACAGTTGACTATCAGGGGCCATTTTTTTGGATTTTTTTCTTTTTCATGTCAAACTAGTCAATACCATTTCAACTACAGCTTCAAGAAAAATTTTTGTAAAATATTAAAATGCACGAGTTACTAACAAAAATGTATTTTTGAACTGAATTCTTTAGCCTGCCAAAGCATGAATAGCTAATTTTAATATGTCATCATAAAAGACTCCTGGAGTGTTTTTTGTAGCAAAACGTCATGGTCCTTGAATTTTAATTGCATACAGATTGCCTGAATTTAGTTTCACATGGTGATCCTTTGCTATCTGTCTGCATTTCAAACTATATTTTGAATGGAGAAAGAGAAAAAAGAGAAAAGTCCTTGGGTAATAGTAGAAAAGATGCCTGGCTGTATGCACAAGAATTCTATTGACTGAATGAAAAAAAGGATAAACATTATTGAGTAGCATTTGATGCTTCTGTCTTCTCAAACTTTCCAAAAATACAGCTCCACCCATTGTAACTCTTGAAGTTATAAGCACACTACTACTTCCAGGTAATAGAGCAAGGAAGGAGTTATGCAAGACAACAAAGTGTTTCCGGATTTACCTTCAGAAATAGATTGTGTGAAGTTTGTAAGATAGGATGTCAAACCCCTAAGGCATCCTGCAATGATGAGCATATCTGGCTTTTTGGTTTTTCTTGTCATCTGCAATCATAATTGATTAAACAGAAAAACTGAGTTTCTTGTATACCCTTGTATACCTCTTTACCTTTCTTCATCACCTTTAATCTCTTTCAAAACAGTGCTAAATTACACCAACAGCTTGGTTTAAATGCCTTGGGTCCCATTATTGTACAAAGTCACAGTCAAATTTGGGGAAAAGTTAAAAGAGGAAAAAATTAACTTTCAGTGATTATTTAATAGGAAGGAAATAGAACATCAAGTAACTAAGCATGAGATACATGCTGATGTGTCAAAGTTAGCTGTATTTGGAAACAACTGTCAATTGATAGAAAAACATTTCACAGGTGAGCTGAGCCTATTAGAGTTAGCTATAAGCAATAAACCCTTAAAACAGCCTACCAAGTAATTAATCTACTTTGCCTAAAAAGTGTAAAGTACAATTTTGATTTGTACTCTGCATATCTCTAATCAACATAGCAACCTCAGTGGAAAAGAAGCAGTTGGCTTTGAAAGGCCCAAAACTATCGCATTCAATCCAACAAGAAAATGTATTATCTCCAAAATTCCTCACAAGAAGATAAGTAAAAGTTCTGAAAAAGTGTACAATGTACACAAGATACCGAAAAAAAACAAATTTGTTCTATACCCAAAAAGAGAATAATTATAAATTGTTGTTAAGGAATTGGAGTGAAACAAGGAGGACTCCTAACTCTTCTATGGTAAATGTGTCATCCTCATTTTTTCAATAGATATAGAATTTGTTTCCAATGCATATATACATATGTATGTGTATTATGTATGCACATTATTATGTATGTATATATACACACATATATATAATATATTTAATGCATAACAATTTTGAGCAAACATAAATCAAAAAGAAAAAGATAAAATAACATAAAGGAACCTTGAAGGTACCTCTAAATTTAGGACACTGACATAATGCTTAACAAGATCATCTGAATGGCTGATCATGCACTCAGGAAATACTTTTGCAATGGTCCCCAATAAGGAAAACAGCCAGTATTTTACTGCAAAAACAATTGAGAAAAGTATCTAAGATAACTTCACAACTTGCACTGAAGCAATCATGACCAGTTGTCAAATGTACAGCTACTTGCAAAATTAATAAAGGGGGTAAGCTTCTAAAGAAACTTTGGTGCCATGTGGGGGAGTATAAGAAGATTACTTGGTTTTATCACCTGAGTTGATGATGGAAATTGGCTACTGTAAAGAGTTTTAAAGCTGATGTTTTGAGCATTAGCCCTTCATCACAATGAATGGAGGAATTGTGGTTCCTATGACTGTGTTTACATGTAGAAAATGGAGTAACAGTATTGGTGAGAACATGGTAACAAAAAAAACAAGAATAAAATAGTTGAATGAAAGTATTCATTGATACCATGGGGATTAAGAGTGCCAATCTGAAAGATAAATTTTTGTTCTACAGTTTTGCAGCTTTCCAAAGTGCCCAGACATTAGGAAAGGCTGCAGACTGCCAAATGATGCTGAGAATGATTAGGGAGATTAAATTGTCTCGCAACAGGCTCAGATGCATCCTTCATTCCTTTCTACACTACAAAGGTGTTCTCAGAATCTAGTTGTCTCCTTGTTTCACCAAGATGTTTAGGATGTTGCAGATCCCATTGATGGGTAGGGCAACTGTCTCCTCTGTTGCAATTACAACTAATATATTTTTCCTCTCTACTCCCACTTGTAGTAGTAGAGAAAGCAAGGACCCTTCATGAAATCCCTTCTACCTTTTTCTGGATGGGTTACCCTTCACAAAAACATTTAAAAACAGAAATGCTATTAAATAAGTTTGCTTTTTATCACTTTGGCACAAGATCTTAAGTTTGAAAGCTGGTGGCAATAATGTCCTTGGAGTAGTTTACCAGTAGATGAGTGTTTGGTTGGTTGAATACAAGCTCCAAAATATCTTGTCTACGTTAAGGCCATCCTATACTCTTTTTCCCCTTGGTTAACTATGATTTGATTAATTTTACATGTTAGGACAACTATACAGCAATTTAAATTCAATATTTGCAATCATACTTTGTACAATGGTGGTCAGTTAGGTGGGAATTAAAATTTACTACACTAAAATGCAATTGACTATCTTTAACCACTCCTACATTTAGATACATAGCTCCATTTGGAATTGCCATATCTTCAACAAGACGTGATTTTTAAAAAACGATGAGACTTACAAAAACCAACAGGTCCATCACTGTAACTTCAGAATTTCTGTTTGAGAGTTGGATCAAAATTGATTTAAAAATTGCTCAAAGGATACTTATCAAAAATCTTTGGAACATCCAGCTTTTCCACAACAGAGAATTCTAGTTTAACATCTAATATCTGTTGAATAAAATTCACATTCATCAATACAAAATTACATAGTTTTCAAATATTTACAAAATTGCCAAAATTTCAAAACCCCACCACTTCAAAAAAAGCAAAATTCAAGAAATCCTGCATAAAAACCAATAATTAAGTGGTAACATTAGTAATCATATTAAAAGTAATAATTATAATAGTAACATAATAATAATTCAAAGGGGCTAGCTAAAAAACCTTATTGTTCCCCAATCCTCTGGTCTCCAACAATGATTACCTACACTTATTTTAATTTTGTCTGTTAGTTATAATGAAGAAATGTAAAATGGTATCCATGTTTACATAGCCTGATATAAACACAAGGGAGGTTGGGAGAAGACGAGATAAGCATAGGAAACCATGACGCAAAGTGGAGTGGTTTCCAGCTTATCAAGTGTTCTCCCAACCTCCCAAGTGTTTACATCAGGCTATGTAAACAAGGAAACCATTTTACATTTCTTTTAAAAAATAACTAATGAAAGAGGAACAAAAACCATGTTTACATACACTCATGTAAAATGGTTTTAAGGCCAATCAGAGCGTGCATACTATTTGAATTATTTTATAAATAATTTTATCATTTTATTGCAATTCTATTTTGTGATACTTATGTTTCATACAACAAAACATTACATGTTTTAGGATATTCTGTCATTCAGTGTTTTGAGATATGCCAGCTCTCTGCTGTATTGTTGATATCTATTCCATCACCCTATCAAGGTATCATACGTCACAACTTGCTCGCTTCACAACTTTAGTGGCTCTTCTGGGCATAAATCTCTGATTCACACAATAAAATGCTTTTTTTCAAAAAAAAATCCTCAAAACTTCCATGATATGCAGATCAAATCTACTGAGATGTTAAACATCTTACAATCCTGAAATGATTGTGAGATGTTTAACATCTTCCACTGTCTTCTGTAGCGTCATGGCAAGAACTGAAAAAATAATTCAGTTGTAGCAATAAGCCTGAAATCACTAAAGGAGAGAGCTCAAATATGTATCAAGAGAGACTGTCGAACTTATAAGGTACTAAGAAACAAACAATAATTAGCACCAGGAAACATCTGGTTGAAACTGGGTCAGATCACAAACCTGTTATTACCATCACTCACTCACTCATTTCGGTAACCAGTCAACTCACCGACGGACCAACTCGCCGACGCCAACTCGCCGACGTATAAAATCGAGTAGAGACGTCGGCGAGTTGGTCGTCAATCCAATACAACTTATTAGAAGTTAAACATACAGAAAAGTAAACGATATTTAGTAAAAAAACACTGGGAACCTTGGTGAACATCAAACAGAAGCTTAAACATCGGTGAACATTGGTGAACATGTTTTCTTAAAAAATCTGAGCGATTGACATGATGAGTCTTTATGGTGTTGTTGTCACACAATAACTCGTTCGCGTCTGAAGCGGATATAGTAATTGGTGATGTTTACTTTACTTTATTCGCCTTGAGATCCTTATAAACTTTGTTGCAAATAAAAAGAAATGCTTTTTACTAAAGATCTTGTCTAGAAAGCCAAGTTTCTTAAAAAATCTGACCGATTGTCATGATGAGTCTTTACAGTGTTGTTGTCACACAATAACTCGTTCGCGTCTGAAGCTGTTAGAGTCATTGGTGAGGTTTACTTCGCTTTATTCGCCTTGAGATCCTTATAAACTTTGTTGCAAATAAAAAGAAATGCTTTTTACTAAAGATCTTGTCTAGAAAGCCAAGTTTTCATTAAAAAATCTGAGCGATTGACATGATGAGTCTTTATGGTGTTGTAGTCACACAATAACTCGTTCGCGTCTTAAGCTGTTCTAGTCATTGGTGATGTTCACCAATGTTCACCAATGTTTGAGCTTCTGTTTGATGTTCACCAATGTTCGCCAGTGTTTTTTTACTAAATATCGTTTAATTTTCTGTATGTTTAACTTCTAATTAGTTGTATTGGATTGACGACCAACTCGCCGACGTCTCTACTCGATTTTATACGTCGGCGAGTTGGCGTCGGCGAGTTGGTCCGTCGGCGAGTTGACCGTAATTCCTCATTTCAATGACATATGTACCTTTGCCTTCTAGGCAACGGTAGCCACAATGAAACTGATTGTTGCTGCCAAAAAAATAAAAACCATATACCATATACCAAATACCATAAAAATTTGATTGGTGAGGGTAACACACCCTGCCAATCTGAGTTGTGAGAGGCCCTACATTCTCCATAACTAATTTTTTTGCCTCAAAAAATACAGGTAACTCAAAAATGGCAGCATTCAAGGTCAAATTTCCAGCATATTTGAGAGAATTTTTAGCCATTATGCTACCCTCCCAATCCTTAAGCAGTAAAGTATTGAAGGTTCTTTATAATTTTGGTGATACAATTTAAACACTTTCTAAAGTATACTTCTCTTTTACTAACGAACATCCATTTAATTTTCTTAACCATCTCTTACTGTTATTATAATTATGAATTCATTTTAGTTATTATTACTGGGTTATACCTCAGCCATAAGAGGAAGTGTCTCTGCTTTAGCCTTATTACTGTGATCCAGAGAGAAAATTTTGAGACAAACATCCTGCAAAAGATGTAAATGATATGGTAAATACTGTAAATGTTAAAATTATGTAGTTTTAAGTTTTGTGTTATTAAATGAAATTATAAAAATTGATCATGGTATCACAAGGCACTGAAATTTCCTTCTAAAATCTAGGCAGTTCTACATTGTAAAATCATTGTGCATCACTATTAACAATTGTCAAAATTAGTTTGTTTCAAGCTGTTGTAGCATGTGTACGTCACTAATTCTATCATTCTTTGATGCTACATCAGTGGAAAAGGGTCAAAATTGTTTTGTCTTTCAATCTATACTAAACACTTCCTAAAACATTCAACAGTTTGGAAAGCAGAACAAATTCAGTTCCAACATGAGTTTCATGAGTTACAGATTGCAAATGTGATCAATAATTAATAAGAAAATAATTCTTGTTCATATTCATAAAAAATAGGACTAGAAAACCAAGTCCAGATTGAAGTCCAGATAACCAAGGTTTGGCTGTATAAAATATTCCATGGATGTAAAATTAAGGAGTAGAAAATTACAACTACACTGAACTATTAACATCTTGGTTTGCTTCTTATACATGTCATCTTGGTTTTCACATGATGTCAGAGGTCTTTCCAACTATGGATGTCGACCATATTTACACCCCTCAAAGTATAAAATTTATGGTAAGGCTTAGCTGTATCTGTACAGTTTTTGTACTCTTAAAGCTGCTTTGTGAATTCTACATGGATTTATCACAAGAAAATAAAAGAGATGAAACTGGGAAACTTAGCAGGAAGATTTCTGTACTTTCTGAGTACCCAACATCTTTGACAACCACATAAAACCGCAAGACCTTCAGAAGATTTCTGTAGTTGGTGGCGACACACTTGATATCCCATGCAAGTAGTTCCATCCCAAATGTTTGCCACCAGTCCTGCAGTCTGATTTGTTTAGCTACCTCATACTGCAGACAAGTTTCTACATGCATGAACAGTTCAAGAACTATAGGACTTTAGCAGCATATAATCAAGTTGTATCAGGTTTTGTGACTCTGGTGAGAGGAAAGAAAATTTCCAGAAAGTATTTTGTTTTAGGTAAAGTGTGACATTCACAGGAAATGAATGGTCCACTTACAAATGTATGGATTTTAACTAACTGAATAAATGATACTCTCTGTACATCGGTTAGCCTGTAAAGCTGGGCTCACAGAATCATGCTTACCTGTCACCAGGGCCATAATTTACATCGAATGCTGGGCTCATATCAATGGAAAGATGGCATGCATGCACACCAGTTAAAAGCTTGTGGATCCTTCCAATTTATGTTAATGAAATATTGTATAAAGGGGTTACAGATATTGATTTTACATTGGATAAGGAGCTTAAAGAAAACCTTGACAGAAAAACTGACTCCCTTTCTCAAAACACAGTGACTAATCATGGAAATCAACTTAGTACCAGAAAATTGCAGCTGACTTCCACCGAACAAATAAATATATTTTATGAAGCACTCAATTACTGTGATACAAAAGCTGTGGTGCTAAATTTAATTGACCCATTTGCCAAACAGTTTGAGTGGAAGAATTTATCCTGATCTGCAGCACTCAAGCACAGTCTTACCATGACTTGAAGCTTTCTGGAAAACTTGTATTTTGCTGGAAATTCTGGGGAGATGTTATACTAGGACGTGAGAAAACCACTCGTGTACTCCCAGTGATGGTGGTATTTGCTTTTGCAGAGGCCAGGACAGTGAACATGTGGTGTCCAGTAGTAATGCAGACTGCACTTCTAGAAAGCTCCATATCACATGTTTGTTTTGCAGTAAAGTGCTAACAATGAAAACAAGGTACTGCCCACATTGCAGTAAATTACCACATTTTAAATGTAACAGAAGGTCAACCAAAGGCAAGCTACCATCTGCAGAAGTCTAGGCCATCATGATGTGCAGCAGCATTTGCATCTGTTGTACTTAGCCAACACCAAATGACAGACTTCTGGAGTGTCATAGCACTGCTTGTAGAAATGGACACTCTTTCCACTTTGGTTGTTTGGGGCTGAAAAGAATGCCAAAAAATTCTAAAACAGACTAAGCAGTCTTAGCAATAAACTAGGTCTGCATTTGTTCTACAGGATGTTTTCCTGGGAAGGTACACCTCTATGACAGTTTATTTCGCGACGTTATGAGTAAAGATATTGAGGACCACACAGATGACTAGCTTGGTGGAGGTTTGGGAGAACTTCAATTTCCTCCAGTTCAGCAACAGACCAATAGTAGTGACTGTGGTGTATTTGCAATTGCCTTTGTCATCTCTCTAGTTTTTGGAACAGATCCTATGCATGTAACTTTTGCCACTCCTAAAATGCATCTGAAAGTTTGCACCCTGCCTCCAGGACAAAAAAAATGAGCATGTTTCTGATTTTTTTTTAACTATCCTGTAAAACTGATAATTGGGCAAACTCTGATAAGTTTCATGGGTAATAAAACCCCAACCTCATCCAAATTTAGATGAGGTTAGGTATGGATATAAAAATTTGATATTTTAAATTTTGAAACATATTTTGTATTTTGAAACTGTGCATACTCATTGTCTGTGTCCTCAATGGTGACGAGCCTACAGTTAGTGAGTCTGGAGTCAAAGCACATTACAGATTTTTCATTCATGAAAAATTTGTAGGGTACACTGATCTCCAGAATTAACTATAAGCTCTTTACCATTAAGGTGAGTGAATAATCTGAAGGTTGTGAATGCAATGCATGACTTCCATGAGTAATATCAAGTTTTTCTCTCCACAACCATAATAGGAGAATGTTATTGGATAAAACCTTATACAATGATAATTTTTCTTATGAAAACTAGAAAATTTAAATTGTATAGTACATACAGTAAACAACATATGTCATCTGTACCTCTATAAATGATGACCATTGAAGAGAAACCTTATTACAGGGTTCTAGCGGAGGGCATAAATTCATAAGAGCATAGCAAACCCTTGCAACATGTTCAATTATTGGAACTTGAGACTCTGGTTGTCTATTGGAGTCACACTTGAGAAAGTCTGTTTGTAGGGTACCCTCTAAAATTGAATATTTGTGTCACCTCAGTCTAATCACTCTTTCTACTTGAATGAGCTCACTGGCAATTTCCTGGGTCCTCCTGTCATCCACTGGGTCCAGCTGTAACCTCCCTCAGTGAAAGCTGGAGTAGCAAGTTAAGCCTGTTCCAATCCCACAATTTCACTAATGGTAAAGCCCCTGTTTGCCATAACCATGTCTCCTGGTGAAAGTTTATTTAGAAACCCACAGTTTCCTGTTAGAAACTTCTCAGAGGTTCTATCCCCATGCTTCAGACACAAATGAAACAGATCCTTGAGAAGTGATGCTGATTAGTATTTTTATGATGTTAAGATGTTTATTATGCACTAAATGTCTGTGCTCTTGCAAGCAAGTTTGTCAGAATCTCACTAAAAATCTGAAGGCAGTCAATAACCATGATCACCTTGTTGCCAAATGATTTTGTTCAACTCATGTCAAAAATTATTAATCATGAACACATAGTGTGGTCTGCCAATGGTGCTACAAGAGGGCTCTGATGGCTCCATTTCTATCCTGTCAACCTCACATATGAAGGTATTTGTGGTGGTCTTGGTGAAGTAAATATCAATGACACAATCCCCACTTAGATTAAGATGCTTGTGTCTCTTGGCAGCTTCGACTTCTTGTTGCTCTATGGTGCATTTCCTGCATTGCTTTAATCTTTCAGCCCTTCCTTTCCTGTCTTAGTCCTTTTTGCTCCTTTGCTACATCTTCTTTTCTACCCAGGTTTAACGTTGGAACCAAGTGTCTGTCCCATGTAGCTGCGTGTTTCTCTGAAACCAAATGATGGCTACTAACATGCTAACTTTCTAGAATGTTCATCTCATTGGTATCATCTCAACTAATTGCCAAAATCCACAGATCTCTTCTCTACTTCATCAATTCATCCCACTCATTGCCTTGGTTTGTAATTATCTCTGGTATTTTGCTGAAAGGTACCTTGTGTTTACTACTTTTTCACTAGCAACTGACTACAATACAGAGAACCATTTCAAACATACACACTCATGTCATATTCGTTTACACTTGAGGGGGACAAAGATGGTGCATAGCAACCATTCCCACATTTGTTGACACATATGCAAAAACCAAGAATACACAAAAGCACAGATGACCAAAAAGAGCTTCTCATTTAAGCCATTGTCCTTGTGCCTCATTAAAATGAAAACATTCCTGCTGAAGATTGAGTACTTACATTAATACTTGTGAAAATTCATTACTACTTTCTGTTGGTTGCTATGTTTGGCTCTACTTTACAGCAGTGTCTCTATGCCTCTGTTCCCTACCAAATGATTAACATTACCTTAATTTCCACAACATAGGGATTAATTTTCTTTCCCATCTTCATCACATATGATTGAAGGAACTTCAAAAGCTCTATCTTGGCATCTTGAAACTAAAATGTGAAAAGAAAGTTGAGTGTTCAGATTAAGTGCAAGACATAACCTATGTAGAAAGCATTGACGTTCTTAATTCTATTACTCTGTGATATGTTTTTTAATAATGAAGTTTAATAAAGCCTTATACATCCTGAGTATGTAGTGGTAAACTGATTTATAAAGATTGGACAGAAAGCAGTACACAACCTGTATCGTTCTTTTAAGCAAGTAGAGTCACGAACATTGTAATTTGAAAGCAATTCTCACCAAAATTTTTTGGTTTAATCCATGATCTTTTAACACATAGTAGTAACCAGTTGGATTATCATTTGTATCATTTAGGCCCTTTGAGCCAGTCAGGTTTTTTTGTGTCATTTGGGTCATTAGTGTCACTAAGATAATTTGCATGCAGGGTAGCTAGGTCATATTATTGGGTTGGGTTATAGTGTATGTATCAGTTGAATCATGGTTTTATATTTGAGCTACTCAAGCAACCTGAGTGTCATTTATGTCAATTGGGTAATTTCTAGATATGGAATCATTTAAAGTAGTGGGGGCATTTCAATTGGTTGGGTTATTTGAGTCGTGACCATTTTTAACAGTATTAGCAGTGCCCTGAAAGCAAAGAATTCCAACAAAAATGTGACAGTTTGTGTTGCAGTCACATTCCAGTATACATTCATTTACACCCAGCATATCTAATTTTTGGTTAGTGAGGACATTTATTGTGATTGGAATTTACAATATATTTTCCAATGTAATCTATATTCTATTAGCTATCTAACTTCCTCTACATTATTGTGCAAAAGTGTGTTACAAAATTAATGAAAAGTGTAAATTTTGTTTTTGCAAGCCTTCCTCAAAAGTTAGAGTGTAAGTTCCATGCAGAAATTTGAACACAGAAGGCTTTTTGAGCAAACATCCCTTAAACAGAGAAGCTTTTATAATGCGGAACTTTTGCTACAAATCAAAACTGTTCATTTCACATGCCCAACTTTTCAATCTATTTAGTTAACCACGGATGTAATGCACACAAAATATTGACAAACACATTCCCAACTGGGTCAGTCACCAACAAAAAGAATGACAATTCAAAATTCAGAGGTTTCTTCCACAAGCACTTCAGCTGAAAAGAATGCAAATAAATTAAAATTTAAAACAAACTGATTAATTGACCAAGCTGAGCTTGAAAAGTAACTGGTACCAAAATTAATGTTCATGACTGATAGTAAAAAAGATTGTGATAAATTCATCATGCAAAAAAAAGTCTTTTAGATCTTTAGGTCTGGTCAGTGGCCTCTGAATCTCTTAAATCTAGTAGGAACCCCTATCACTATCAGTGAACAATATTTCTGCTCCAGTGCAAACTGTGAAGAAATAAATTTTCCTTTTGCCCAAACAACAATAAGGATTCGACATGCAGTCATCAATCTCACACCCTCCATTCTACTCTCAAAGCATTTTTACTTACATCTCCTAAAGTGAAAAAGATATAAAAATTTACAAAGTTGATAGATCCTTATTCTTTATAAATTTTAGAAAATTAAGAAAACACTGATTTCTTTCCTTCGATGATACCCTAAGCCTAAGGCCAGATATTTTGCCAAAGGCTTCCATCAAAGTCAGTGATGCTCTAAGAGACTCTTCAGATCCATCTAAGATAAGTGTCTAGGAGATTCTCCTTTCTCTGACTTTCTTTAAAGATATAAATTTCCCCCAACTCACTGCTAAATTTCCTGACTTTTCCTTGACCTTGAAGAAATTTTTTTTCCACCAACAGGTGGATAAAATAACTACTAAAGGCTAATTGGGTTTTAGGGCTGGTTAAAAGGACTTGTAGGGACATAAATGACATTGATACAGTAACTATGAAAACACTTTACTGTACTCTTGTGAGACCTTTACTAGAATATGCATGTGAAACTTGGAACCCACACATAAAACATAACAGCAAAGAGCCACCAGTTGGATTACTAAGTCCGATGATGATTATAGCACTAGATTATCTCAGTTAAAATTGCAGTCATTACCCAGTAGGAGATTTATAAAAGATGATACATTTTTGTTCAATGTAATTAATGGACAGTATGATATAGATATTTCAAATAAGCTCCTATTTTGTAAGGATAAGAAATTTATAAATTATAACTTGAAGAAAAATGACACACAGGACCTTGCTCTAAATTTTAGTAGAACTAATGGTTTTATTTCATATATAGCTTTTTTAACCAAATAGTTAATGAATGAAATAGTTTACCTAATCATATTAGAGAATCAAATGGTATTGCAGCTTTTAAAATGAATGCTTTAAATTTTATTACAGTTGATTAGAACTTCTCTTTTTATATTTGTTAATGCTCTTACACCTTAATTGGTGGGACATCCCTAGCATGGTGCCTCAGCACTTTTGGTTGTCTTCTTATCCACAACGTTTCTTTATTTTAGTGATAAATTTCATTTCATTTATTGTCTATTTGTAATCTAGTGGAGTGCATCTGTAATAAAAATAAAATTTTATTTCCTTAACTTTTCCTTGACCTGCGGCAACCATGTGCAAGCACACTTTTAAACATGGTTATCTAAGTAACTTTACACCTAACTATGTATAAAAAGACATTTTGAGAGTTAAATATCTGTAAGACATGATGTAAAAAGATCACTACTGCCATTGCACACACTGGTTGCACATCATGCCATGGTCTTGCATGCTTATATGTAGGTGGAAAAACGTATCTCCAGCAATGATTATATGAACAAACAATTACAGTGAAAGGGATTTTCACCCCTATAATTTACAGTTCCAGTTAGTTTAATTATGCCACCTTTGGTTAAAACTGAAAAAGAAAATTTAGTGGACAATTTTCCCCATAAAAAAACAAGAGGAAAATAGTTGCTATGCCTCAATTGAAGTTGGAGAGTATGGTTTTCACTTCATCTCATAATTCACATCCCTTCAGAGAATAGCAGTGTTGTTGACTAGAAAGCTTGTTCCATTGCTTCTAAGACTTGCTGACTTGGGAATTTTTTTGGCCCCATTATCAGGAAATTTTATTTTCCTTTACTTTTTTAAAAATGCAATGTCAGCACTTTTTTCACATTTCAAACCTCCCTATCTCAGAATATTGTGCAACAACCCCAAATTTATTTTTTAATTTAATGGCCTTATGCTTGCATAATAATTGGCCATGCAAAAGTAGATCCCTAATAATTACCAAGCCCTGTCCTTAAAATTGATAATGCTGTTAAAAAAAATGGCAAGATAGTGAAGTGAAGAAGATACAGGTCTGTGCCTTTGTGTGATTCCAGTTTCACTGGTTTATCAAATTGTCCAATTCCAGGCCATACTCAGCAATCCAAGTTGGTTATGTACATGGGATAATCAAGTCTTACTCATGTGCACTCTCACATGTCTGTTTATTCCAAAACCAAAGAGTAAATTTTTGAATCTACTAAATTATCTTGATGTTGCCTATTCAAAGGTCAAGTCAAGTTTATTTATTTCTCCAGGTCTGTCTACCTTTCCATAGTTTGAATTCAGTCTTGCTCTTGTTCAGACAAGAATTGTTTCTCAATAACCAAAATTCAAATTCAGTAGTACAAACAAAGTCTGGTTCTGCTAATCACAAGTTTAATTTTAAGTAATTTTTCAATTTTAAATGATTGGATAAACCCCATTTCTCTAAGTTTGGATTTATTTGAACCAAGAAATAAATCAAGTATAGAAATTATTTCCATAGCTGAATAACCATTAGAGCTTTTAGTTCACTTCCTACCCAAGTAGGTTGTACCTAGCAGGAAATATAATGTTCACCTATTAAATTCACTTCATTTTTGAGACCTCCACAAATAGAACATACCTCATCCAAAGTGATGGCTTTCCTCAAAAAGTTAACTATGCTTGTCTCACCACTGAATAAAAGTGAAGAACAATAAGCTGCAAATAAATTCAATTAAAAAAACCAGAATAAATAATTATTAATGATGAATGTATATTATATATTTTCAATTCCATCTCTGACAGGTTTGCTCTATGAGTCAATTTCAGTTCCAAATAGCTTCTAGCCATCCTTGAACATTGCATCCAAATAATTATAACAAGTTCTTACAGTAAAATCTAAAACTGCACCCTATAATGCAATGGTTTGATTCTTCAGAACAACCTCTTTTAAAGTATTAGACAAATCAAGACATGATATTTTCAACAATATTACTGAAGTCGAATTTTATTCCCTCCAATTTGCATTTTCAAGGTTCTGTTTATTGGCAGTTCCAATCTCGGAGTGTCAATTTGTTACCATCATAACAACTGGAATCACTCTTTCTTCATTTATCATTTATTGATTAATTTTCCTTAATTTTAGTTTACATGAGACAATAACTGCTTCTAGTAACCTCCATTTTGGAGGGTCCAAAATGGACTTTTCAATTCCCACAGCCTGCTACTATTTTTCATTCCATCCTTATCCTACTGGGTTAAAGCCAGGTTGCTTAATAGTTCACTGCCTTATTAAAACTGATGGGTTAATCGGAGAAAATCATGATTATGGAGAAAGGCAAATACTTTTTAAAGGTATATTTAGCCAGCTTCAAAAGGAAAACAGTTGTTCCTCAGTGTGTTTATAGTCTTAATAGGTGAGACAAAAAAACTTCCAATTCAAGGAACAAAATTACTTGCAAACACATGGAACCACCATGGTGACTGAAAAGACAATAGCTTTCACAAGCATCTTCATGGCAAAAATTGCAACACAAATCTTTGATAGAAGTGCTAAGAAACTGCTCATTTGTTGTAATATTGACAATACAATCTCTCTACTGCACACCAACAGAGATGCTGTCAACCAGTTTATTGAACAAACTTAAGCAAATAAATACCACCCAACAATCAAATTTATGGCTGAAATATCTGTTTCCGAAGCTACTTTCTAAGACATGACTTTATATAAGGAGGAAAGATTCAACAGGGAGTCAGTTCTCGATAAAAAAAAAAACCCCTCAAACCAACAGAGACATTCCAGTACTCGTTCTACACAACATGTTACCCACTGGGAGCAAAATGCTTTGCTAAAGGCAGAGCATTATGACTCCTCAGGAAAAACTCTTCAAAAAAAATTTCTCAAAACACAACTGGCAGAGAGAGGTAGAGGTGAAATTTGAAGGATGTAAATTACACAGACCCTCCTCTAACAGGGAAAAACAAGCAATCGAATCTTGCCCTTTGTAACACAATACTATCCAACAGTTTCAAACCTTAAAAAAATGCTTATGAGTAAGTGTCATTTAATACAGCAATGACCATTGCAAAGAGGAATCATCAAAGAACCAATACTATCATACAGAAAGAGGCATTCATTCAAAGGAATACCTGTGAGAGCAAAATTATAAGATACTATGGAGCTGTGTAGGACTATTAACAATTTTAACAAATATAAAGTAAACTGAGTCAATTAGGCAAGTCAACCCCAATTTACACAGGAGCATTAATTAAGCCCATTTATACAGCAAATAAATATTTTTCAATGTCTCTGAGGTTGTTTGACTTGTAACTTAAGCTAAATTATGATCCCACTTATACTTGTCCTATCCCCTATCCCGCCTTTGAAACTGAGCGTATCTCAGTCCCACCTTACTATTTTCATCCCACATCCCGCCTCTGAAATTTCCCATATCCCACAACCCTCCTCAATTTTAATCATCATCCCATGTCCCACCAAACCCAAGTTGGACCCTTACATGTACTGAGGAAGAAAATTGCTCATTTTGCAAAATATAACAATTAACCATGCTTAGCCTTACAAAAAAAGAAAAAGCTATGGAGTGATATTCTTTGTTCAATTCTGGTCAATCCTGGTTTACCCTGCTCCTTTCCAATTCGAACTTGAGCTTAGGAACAACCACAGAGCAAACGGAGGAAAGTGGGATGTGTGTATGACAATTCACAATTCCTCCATTGGCTATGACAAGGGGCTCGAAACATCAGCTTTTAAAACTCTTTAAGGTGGCAAATTTACGTTATCAACTCAGTTAATAAAACTAAATTACCTTTTTTTCCACAGTTTTAGCAAAATGAATTCAAACTGGAGCATGACTAACACTCCCCAATTTATACAGTGGGATACGACAGCTATGATGTCAAACTACGAAGCGAACTGTAAGAGTCGAACTGGATGAACCCAGTGACCAAACACACAGCATATCATGGCCAGCTTCCGGTACTATGCAGTTCGAGAGTATCAAATATCATTGGAGGCAGAAATTAGCAACGCAAATGGGGAATTCATCGCAGCAATCAAATACTCCTCAACTTGAAGACCTCATTACTTAAATCTACCGATGTGATTTGTAGAGAGAGTCGTTACTTATTTTTATCATAATTTTGGTCATAATTTACTTTATTTGACGCTTTGGTGCACCCTTATTGTACATGTACCTTCTTCCTTGCCGGATACGTTCTCCAAGCAAAAACTGCGGAGATCTACTACAGTATTACTTGCGTCTAAACCACGCTGAGGTACATCCGATGAGGACAAAGAATGTAGATGTGTGAGATAGCGGTTCACTATGTCAGCCATTTTGAGGATGAGCCTTGCGTCGCAATGTCGAGCCCAGGGTAAATTTGCCCCCTTGTCAGCGGTATGATTATTCAGCTAACAAGAAGTCAAAATGACCCGGACGCTCGCCCCTCTTTTAGCCAGTCCCAGATTTAACTCGGAACTTTGACGAGGCCAGGCTGCGATTTGAGTCCCTCGTGCAATCCTTCGTGCAACACTTCGTGGAAGTTTTGAAGATGCCCGAGGTTATTGGCTTTGATGATGAGGTAAAAGTGTAGTTAAACGTGAGCTTCGCCCCGTTGCAGATTCGCTCTGCCGAATTTGAGAAGTTTATCCCCTTTTTGAATTCGGGTTGGTCCATGTCTTAGCTTCTAAAGTGTTAAATATGCCAAAACATGTTTCTCCTCATATGAAAGCATATTTCATCTTCGATCAACCTCTAAATTGACGGTTAACTCACGGTATATTCCAATCAAAAATCAAATTTCAAGGTAAAATTCTAGTATTCATTTTTTCAGTCAATGAAGTCAGTAATATGTCAATCTGTGTCAGCTAGGGTTTATTTTTTAGTTTATCACATACATTGATTTTTTTTACAACGAAAAATAACTATGAAATTAAGAGATCTTCGCAGCTGAGAACACTACTGAAACGAGTAGTTGAAAATAGGACCTGAAAAAAATTCAGGCCCATACTCTTCACCACAGCAAATATGAATTTCATATATCTAAAATCATCAAAAATAACTATGTTAGCAAGTGGTATGTTCCTCGCACCAATCAGATTGCTACATTTGGGTGTGTATCTCATACCAATCAGATCATAGCATTGGGGTATGCTTGCATCAATCACAGCGGCAGAGTGTCATTCCTCATGCCAATTGTGCCATGAAATTAGGGTACTGCAATATGTTGTGATAGAATCAACCCAACATTGATACACACCAAAGATTTCATTAACAAAGAATTGTGAGCTCATCTACCCAGTGTAATGGTTCATGTCCTTTGTGAGGACTTTATTGGTATGATCTGTTGGAGCTAGAAAAGTCTCTAGGGAATTTTTCAACCATACAGAAGTTTAAAAGTGTTTTGCAAATCACTACTTCACAACACACACACTATCAGCTAAAGGCCTAGCACAAAATTATCGGTAATGTGTTTGTCTTGCAAGGGCTTGTTTTTCTGATAAAGCTAATAATTCCATTTAGCATTTGCATAAAATATATTTGATCGATAATCTTGATTTAACATTGTGATCGCTCTACTGGCAAAGGTTGAAAAGGTTAGCAAGTTATATTAACTTTCTGCATTGACTGTGATGAGAAATGACTGTTTCTTTGCTTTTAAAAGCTCTCCATGAATTACATCTTGTGTTCAAACCTTATTTTCTTGATATAATTATGTGTTTACTTGTCACTATGGACTAGACTTTCTTGGATGAAATGTCATTTTCCAGTTTATTTCAGATAAATCAGAAGTTGGTTTTTTTTGCTCTCCATTGAACAATACTTTTCATTGCAGTCTTTTAAGAGGGAATGTTCTTTTTCTTTTGCCAAAATGCAAACGTCAGTTACTTGGTATCCCTTTTCAACCTACCTGTCCAAAAGATAACTATTAATAAAATTGTTGGTGATCCATGCGATCTAATTGGCCTACTGTCATTTATGAAACAAAACTAGTAAAAATAAAAATCAGTAGTTTTTAAAATATAAATCTTTTTCTCAGAGGGCAGGGTAATGAATTTTGCAATCTCAGTGGTTCTTAGCATAGTCCGAATTTTGCTATCTCTGCCCATGGGCACAGCAACACCTTTGTGAGTCACCAAGTACATCTTTAATACAAATTCCAATTAATTACACTGAAGAAGTTGATTCAATTGATATGAGGACAGCTTAAAACAGAATACAAGATTGCTCAGTATAAGCCTTCTTAATTATATACCTACTGTATTTCTTCACCTATAAGCCGAGCGATTTTTTCAGTATTTGACACAAAAATTTGAGAGATTTTTTTCACAAAAAACAGGGTTCGGCTTATAGTGGAGGGTTTGGGATTCAAAAACAAGTACAAATTTAATGTTAATGCGAAATGACAAATTTTTTTTTTTGAATTGTATTATCTTTTTCTCTTAATCACATCTTTCACACTTAATGAGAGAGAAACACTAAGAGAAAAACAACCAATCGGATTTCAAAGCTCTCTTGAAGTAACAGGTCAAATTGGAGGAAAGTGAAAGACAAAGAAACCCACTTTCATGGAAAATTTGGCAACCCACGGTCCCAAACCTGTCTTGAATTAATACAGCAATAAATTTTGACACAAGGTCTCAAAATTTTCTTTTTGGACACAAAAAGGCATTTCTGATTCCACTTTGAAACAAAGAAAACAGTTACTGGACAACAAAATCTTGCTACTGACTGAGAGTTGTATTTGAGTGAAACAATTGTATCATTTCTGCATCAGGGCTCCAAACTCATTTTTTTTAAAAGTTGCCTTTTAACTACCTTCAATTGTACAATGATTGCTGTTAAGAATTTTAGGTCACTCCCTCCCCCTTAAAAAAAACACCAAAAAAACTAATGAGCCAAACAATGTGCTTGCAATCCTTCTATTTGTTAAATTGATATGTTCACTTGCTTACCAATTCAGCTATTGTAATAATGGTCAAGAGAAAAAGGATGAAGGAGCTCTAATGTCTGGTAGTAGAAACAATTTTGAATAAATTTGCTGAGACCAGATTAATACCATTTTGATTGATTGCCAGCTGAGAAACCTCTCTCATTTGGGGTGAGCTAAACTATTGCTATTAAAACCTTCTATATTGTAAATAACATCCTGAATCACTTATAGTTAGACACCATACTTTGTACTGCATAGTTGATTGTTGGACTTCAATACTCTATATAATATTAAATGAGGATTATCTCAACAAAATCAGTTTGACATTATCACCCTTTTTTTTAGCTTACTGGGTATCTGGAACTCACAAAACAGTGGGAGAGAAAAAGAGAAACACTGGCACATTAGCAATTGATAATTCAAACAAGGATCAATGATTTTTTCAAGTCTCCCTCTTTATTTTTTTGGTCGCCAATTGGCAACTGTTATCAAAATTTTAATTGCCTAATGCAAAATGTACATCTTTTACTTGCATAGTAACCAAAATGGTGGCAGCTTGGAATGCGGCACATGGATGTAATAAATGGTAATCAAACCTCATGTTCAAACATCCACTACACACTTACTCCATTTTGAAGTTGTAGGAATGATTCCAACTTAATTGCACTCCACTCAGCAATTCATACATTCTTTTAAAATCATCCACATTGTAGCTTGGTGGGAAGTTGCATGACAGCACATCTTGACATCATTTTCTTTTAACTTGGAGAATTGTAAATTGAAATAACATCAAAGCCTAAATGGTTCTGTTCTAACCTGGAAAGTCAGTGAAAACTGATGTTCTGTTTGCAAATGGCTGGTACAAGATTGTACATACACTGTAGCCAATAAATACTATTGAACTCAGTTGCAGTTTACCATTTCACATCCAACATTTACCAATGAGATGATCATTTTTCCTTGTGGGGTCAAGTTATGCACGAGGCCTCTCATCAATGTTATACAATGAGAAATTGCCTCCTTCATGAAGGTTTAAAAGGATTTTTGAGTGCTTAAGGTTACTGTTAACAGAATATGGTACCCTACAGAAAAATCATTCTTTGTGTGCTACTTGATCAGAAACCATAAAAAATCTATATATCACTGTAAAGTTTATAAAGTACATATTATAAACATAGCAAAAACTTTTTGGTTTTGGTGGGTGTGTCAGCCTCTATACTTAAAACTGACAGTGTTTGCTTCACTGAATTTCCCGCCTCTGCATTACTGCAGACCTCCAAACAAATGGAAGGATATCACTCAGCAAATAAAGGGCCAAGAAAGGGTGGGAGGCTTTTTCAATATTTTTGTTAGTTCCTGAGAAAATCTACTTTAAAGTTGGGCAATGGTAAATGTTTCAGTTCTTATCACACTGCGAAGCATCACAATAGGAATAACATTTTGGTGGGTTAATACCTGAGGAACATTCTGGTCAATTTTCATGAGAATATTTTAAATCCACATATATATCCTATTAATTTGTTTAAAAAGAAGTTACTCACATAAAAACTAACCTTGAATTTTTTCACATGCATGTGTCAATACTGTTGCTGATCAATGAAATGCAACTTTGAACCCCCTGGCAAGTATTGGAAAAAAAAGAATTTGAAATTTGCAGGGAAAATCATTTTACAAAATGGGAAAAACTAATATACAATGGAGCAACCAAAATCCAAACTTCATTGAGAAAAACAGAAGGAAGAGCAAGTTAAAAGAAAAACTTTACTTTGATTTCTTTGGCTCAGTTCGGCTCGGCTCTCCTGCCACTTTTCTCATTTTGGCTGTTTGATAAAGACTTATTTCTTGATGAATACTTGTTTTGTTGTGAAATATGTCAGAAATTTCATTTTGTTGTGTAGTGCAAGAGGCAATGTAAACAGAATATGCAAAATTGAGATTGCGGAATATCCACACTCTGCTGGAAGCCTTTCCCATTATGACACCTTGCGCTCTTCAGTACAAGTTCCTCTGAGACACTCTTTTGGCCATATCTGGCTCTCTTTACAGTAACTGCTTTCTCCAAATGAAGAGCAAAAAAATGAAATTTTGTAAATTTTGACCAGACTTTTTTGACAGTAACCTGAAATTAAATTTTTTTCATTTTAGAATCTTGATGATGTTGATGAAACTCTGATAGAGAGACTTATAGGCTTGACAGAGATGTTTCCAGAATCTGTGCGTCAAGGCTCCAGAAATGCAGCAAGAGGTGTGGCTATTGGTGCTAGGTGGCTCTACAACTTCACAGGGAAATCGCTTTGGATTATGAGTACATCATTTGTTGTACTTGCCTTGCCAGTTATTTTTGAGGTAGAAAGAGTTCAAACAGAAGAAGCACAACTTCAACAGCAAAGACAAGTGAGTTAAAAAACCAC